CCACCATGGTTATACTTGTGGTTCTCAAACTTGGTCCTGCATCAGAATCACCTGGGAGGCTTGTTCAAAAAGGTTGCTGCCCTCATTCATTTCTGACTTCTTTCTGAGGTTCCAGGGTAATGTGACAAATGTGCTTTGGTACTTTTACCTGTTCAACCAGCTATCATAATACAGACAATGGGATTCCTTACAGGTCTCTTAATACGAGGTTCGGCTTGACTTATCCTTATACTGGATTTATGTTGTTTCTGAAGATACCTTTCATCCTGGTGCACAAACTGATTAATTACATTATGGTTGCACTTCCATAATTTTAAAGCTTTCAATGTGAAGGAAAGGATAAGTATCAATAGTTCAATTTAGTTAGAGCCTAAACTGGCCAAGTCTAGTAAGTCCAATGCTGTTTCCAATACATGTTTAAATGTCAATATTGTCAAAGATTAAGTAAATTCTTCTGCAGAGTTGTGGCAGTTTCCAAACAAATCTAAGTTCACACAGCTCTCGATTATGAACTAAAGGGAATATTCAGCCTTCTCAGTTTGATAATTTGTCAGCAACAGGCATTGAATAACAACTCCCAGGAGCTGACTGCACATCAGAAAATGTGGTGCCAAGGGAGGGAAATTACAACTGCCCTCTGGTGTTAAAAAGAAGAAACGCTGTAGTTTCTCCTGTCAAAGTTGTTAAGATTCTACCTACATAGTGAGATTTGGCAGATTCTGGTGCACAAGTCAAAGCAGTGGTCTGTTAGCTTTTGATAATAAATACTACGTAACTTGAATGTAGCAGCTGTTCACTGGTCCTCCACCCTCACCACAAAATACGCTCAGACAAAAATACTTTCACTTCATTTATTAATTTAAAACAAGTCATTTTGTACAGCATTTGGATATTTAAAATCACACACCTTATAAATAAAATCAATGCATCTTAAGGACAATGGCAATGGCACATAAAATCTGTACAAAATAAAACTGGACATCTTTCCGGTAGCAGCAGTGCATTAACTTTGAAAAATAACACTGGCAAACAGACAAAAGAACATTTTTAAAACTGAAAACACTGTCCATTTCATTAAGAAAAATATTTTTTATACTACTTTTTCAAGTCATGGTCAAAAGCTCTGAGTCAACAGTTTTGTGGTTTTCTTCTTGTTTCAGGTATTCCTTCTCTACTGCATTAATACAGAAAATACATACTGCTTGACAAACTATACATATTTATCGTTTCATAACTACCATTTGAGCCGAGTCTGACCCTTTTTTAAAGGGAGAATTACTTTTTGCTTAGGAAATTATATTTCCTGTAAACTTGAATCTTGAATGGCACCAAGGGCAACTGGAAAACTGACAAGAATTGGGTGCTCTGGCCCTTGTAACTTTTTGGCTGCAAATAACTACATATCCTAGATCAGTTATAAAGTCAGGCTTATGTATCGCAGTAGAGATTCTAAAGCTTTCATAGGTTAACCTTTATTTTTTTTTTAACCTACAACTTAACCAAATTGTATCTTCACTATCCCTAAACTCCTAGTTGTGGGTTTGTAGTTTTAAAAAAACAAATATAAAAAGGCATCATACCAAAATGCTTATAGTCAAGGTTTTATATTTTAATGAGTAGATTTTCAGTTATGATCCTGCTGCATTCTTTACCAAGAAATAGGGGAGAAGGGCTAAGGTGACACAAAGGCATTGCTTGAAAAATTTTCCAAAAAGCGTAATTCATGCCTGGGAATGCACCCATCAGAGGATCTCTTCTATTTGGGTGGTACTCTCTCCTCCTGCCCCTTTCTCCCTTCACATTAAAACTGCATGGGAGGGCTATCAATCTCCTTTAGAGTCATAGGAACCAAGACCTCAATCAGCACCCCACAATTCATTATCAATGTAATAATTTCTTCAAAGGTAAATAGTCCTAGTATTGTAAACAAAATACCAGCCAATTTTGAAGAGAAGTAAAACCCTTTCCCATAATTGGAGAAGTTTTATATTGTTAAGTTGGATGAAATGCGCTGAAATATTATAGCTTTTAGTTAAGAAAACATCTATAGTAAATAAGCTAGCTTATTCAAATCAAGTGCTTCACTGTAGTCTTAAAAATGATGTTGCTTATTATGTATTTTTAATGCCTCTGACTTAAAAATCAGCTCCTTTAAAGTATCTGCTTAGAAACAAAGGAAGTTTTAAGAATCTAATCTTTTCAAAATTAAGTCATCTTTGTGCTATAAGGACAAATTTGAAACTGCACTGTACAATGTATAAAGAACAATCATATTATAGAAATAGGTAACATTTTGAATCCTAGGGCACTGGGCATGCTCCTCATAGTTCTGAAATTGAGTGCTACTGTTATCAAAACACCAGAATGTTGTACTACTGGATACAATATACACTGATGGTAATTGTTGACTATGAAGAGCTTATTGTAAGCAGCTCAAGAATTATATTTTAATGTTGTTAATAAGGTCCCTGGAAAGGGCTAACATGTAAACTTCTATTTCATATTTTTTAAAGTGCTGCAAATAATAAAATTCATATTTCAACACATGAAGAACATAAATCTTAACATATGGAAGTTTAGAAAAGCCACCTCATTAATTCTTAAAGAGAACCATCACTTTGTTGCTGATCTTGCATATTCCTCATTCTAATTTTTTTCAAAAAAGACACAGAAAACTATGCGTAGCTAGGGCAACTTGCAACATCCATGTTGTAAACAAAGGCTACATAGGAAAGAAAAAGCTTGATAAGCAAGGTAGGCATGGATGCTTAGGGCATGTATAGACAGATACTATAACATTAATTCATTCCTGATTCTGATTTTGTGGGAACGTAAACTTCTCGTAATAATCAAATGGCATAACTATACTAGTTTTTGCCAACAGGGTCAAGCTGACCAGCAGCCAAACTTTCAAGGACTGTGCCCATTTTTCATTCATGGAAAATAATTTAAAAATCGGCCACAAGCCATTAATGGAAGATGTACCACACTGGTGTCTTCATATGGCTATCACATCACAAAATTCCCAAGGATATCATTTTAACTTCTGAAATCACTCTAGCTAGAAGTGCATCTTCATAGCCCTACACCTAATTTTTAAATGCAAAGGAGAGTAAGGGAATGAAGAGTAACAGAAAGAAGTAGGGGATGGAAAAGCACAATCTTCACTTTGCCACTAATGTAAACAATTCTCATTTCAGTAAAAAAAAAAAAAAATCTTGTATGGCAGTCAAACACAATGACTAGGAAGGGTTTCATTCTGTTCAAGTGCAAGTTTAAGAAAAAGTTTCTGGCCCTGGCCAGGTAGCTCTGTTGGTTAGAGCATCTCCCTGATATACAAATTGATATTTTTCTCTCTCTGCCTTCTTCTTTCAAATTAATAAGTTTAAAAAAGCTTATTTTAATATTACTGCAAGTACTAAGTCCCTAAGTTTTCAAAATTCTAAAGATGAGAACTTATCTGTTAATACACAATTTCAAGAGTTTAGCAAGTGCAGTAAAAGACTCTTTAAATTCTGTGAGGCTCATAATAAACTTGAGTTTAGAGCTTAGGTTTTTAATCTTCAATAATTAAGTCAAATAATCTGCAATCTTGAATTTTCCATGATCAGAAGTCCTAGTGCTGATTTTCAGCAGCTGATTAATTTTAAAAAGAGATTACTGAGAGCAATTTGACTGAGTATCAGTTTCCAGGTGGTGGACAACCTAGGTAACAGGTCAACTAGAATAAAATAAGATCCCCTACATAAACACTTGACACTTGCTATAAAAATATAGCTTAAACATACAAATAAAGATACTTAAAATAGAGGTGTTTAATTTTATAAAATACAAGGTTCTTTTTCTTTCCATTTGTTAACATAATCTAATATAGATAGAGTACACTCAACTTTAAAGTGACAGAAATTTTGTTGGGGAACACATTAATAGATGCCTGGTAGATTACCAGTTACTCAGGAAATATTTGTTGCATAAATATATTTCTCTAAAATTCCAGTTAGCAAAGATCAAGTTTGGCTGCTGAAGTACCTAAGAAAGGAAGGCAAACAATTTGAAGGATGTTACCCAGTTTATACTCTTAAGTTTTAAATTTAATATGTCCTGGGGTAAACAAAAGACACAAAAACCTTTTAGAGGACAGACAGGTACTAAGAGATTTTCAATCATATTCACCTGTACATATTATGACTGTCAAACATTAAATATCGCAAACTCATAAGTGTTATTTTTAAGGCTCAGTAAAGTAGAAAATTAAACACTTTTAAGTTATATTCACCATAATACCTTTTATCTAAAGCAGCTATTCACACAAAAGTTACTCGAAATAAATGTCATCTAAGGATTTCAAGCATACTTTGTGAATTGTTCCTTAGAGATACTTTCCTCTTAAATTGTTTATATGTTCCCTAATTGAATATGGCCATCTTTACCGAGTGAAAAATGCTAAAAGTGAGTATCAATTTTATAACATTTGTCAAGATAGTGAAAGAGGTTTAAGTGCTTTAAAGTATACCATTGGTTTTCTAAGTGAGATACTTAATTAAAAAAAGAGATCAACATAACAAAACTTCACAACACTAAGCCTCTTCACATTATGTGAGATAATACATAACAAATTATAATTTAGCATCCCTGATCTTCAGAAGATTTACAAAAAGAGGTAGAAAACTTTTATCTGGAAGATCTCATAATAAAGCTAAGTTTTAGAGGGTCTGCCTTAGGGATTAGCCCACCAAGCAAATGGCTACACATCTAATATTAGGAAGAAGCTTATTCAGGTAAGGCAAGAATTTAAAAACTGTCATATTTTGGAAGTGAAATTAATTCTTTCAACATCATCATCCCAATTACTTTTACACTCTCCAAAAGTCCAAGTAAAAGATTGTGGGTAAGCAAAGTGCTAATTTGCAGAAAGCTGAAATTATAAAAAGAGCATTAGTGGCAGGATAAGGCTAAGATAAAAACAAATTCTGTTTAGATAAGCAAAAGATCTCACAACAACCAAACCAAAGCATATCTTTATCACTTTAGATGAACATTTTTTTAGGACTTGGAGGAAGTCTCTTAACAAAAAGCTGAGGAAAATAAATCCCTCCGAATCTTAATGTAAAAAAGGAAAATTCAAGCATTCCAATTTTATAGAACTTCAATTAAAAAAACATACCCTGCTTAAATTTAAATTTTATCCAATGTGACAAAGGTTAATAAATGAGTTTCGTTAAAATACGAGGTCAATGGTCTTTTAAAGCTTCAGTAAGCTGCTCAGGCACCTTTTCTCTCATACATTCTACTTTTATACACTAGATCTCCTAAATTGGGCACTATCAGTTCCTGTTTTTAGGTAACATTGTCAGGGAATAGGCTCATCCCGGTAAAAATGCTTGTTATGTACTTATAACTGGCCAAGTACACATTTTACAAAGTCTACCAAATTACAATACAAAATCAGTTTTGACAATTCCGTGTATCTTCACTTGAGGAATCAGTTCATAATTTAGAAACTATTAGCTCAGAGTTTTTAAAAGGACTCAATTATTGGAGACATTGTGGTTTAGGTCCAATGGCCTCACATGAGGCCTTCGGCACTACCCAAAATATGATGCTGTTTTCTTCTACAAGTTAATGCTGCTAGTTATAATACTAAAACTCAATCTTCATGTTAGTGTCAGTCGGTAGCATGGACCATCTATTCTGTCACCCCAGAAAGAGGGCATGTATCACCGCTGTAGACACACATCTGTAAACTTGCACACTAATTTTAATCTTAACAAGGAATTTCAGTGCCTTAGTGGTTTTAAATTTAAAAGGATGGTTCAAGCATTGTGTCCTTTGTTCTTTAGGGTTATGAATAACTTATTGGAAAACGCAGAACCTTCTGGATCTGTGAGGTAGTAGGCTTTAATCCTCATCATGCATAGATCACACTTCTCCAAAGTTGGTATGGCCTGTCTCCTTGGCATGTTCCCTTGCTTCCGCTTGTCCAGTTAATCCCTTTTGACATACCATGCATCGCAGGGTGAAGCGGTTTATGTCAGTAAACTGTCTCCTTCTTCTAGCTTCATCTGCTAATTCCAGTGCTTGTACAAGAACAATATCATCATTAGAGGAGAAAATGGTCAGAGGAGGGGTGTCTGGGTCAGGAAAGTTACGCTGAAGCGGATCATAGTGGACACCATCATAAATAAGCAGGACCCTTTTAGCATAGCCTGCATCTTCCCCAAAACGATCAATTCTTACTGTCTGTGTATCTACTACACATATTTCGCATTGATAATATTTAGACAAAATTGATATCTCAATAGCTCCTCCCCAAGTATCATCTCTTTTGATCCATTCACAGTACTCTTGATTTGTTTTTCCCAGTATTGCTTCGCTATAGAAATCTGGATCACTTGCTACAATTTGTGCTATGAGGCGTCTCATCTCAGGGGCACAAGCTGGATTCAAGACTCCTCCTTCAACAACATAGTATACACTGGTAAAGAGGCAAGAGTTGTCAGCTGGGACCACGGTTCTGGTAAGCACAGGCAAAGTTTCCCTGACATAACTAGGAGCACCATGTCTGGTAAATGCAGGTGAAGTGTGGGGCCTGGTTTGATCTTCTTCAACGATCAGCATGTCACCTGTTAAAAATAAAACACATCCAGAACTGTGCAGAAATTATAGATCAAACTGAAAGTTTACTAGCCAAGTCTGTAAATTACAAACAGAAGGAGTTAAAGTATAAGCTGGGATTACTAGGGAGAATATAGCTTTGCAAACAAGTGACCAGTTACACTTCTTGTTCACTGAATCTTCATAAAGTTCAAAAACAAACGAAAAAAAAACCACTTTCGGTTGCATTCCAATTTTGTGAAGGGGCCTGGGTTATACAACTTTATGGTTACTTAAAAAGCTACATTTAAAGAACAACATTTCCTGATGCTCCCTCTATTTAAAAAGCTCAGATCTTCCAAAAGGTGTTTATCATAAACTACGCCACTAGGGGGTTCTCCTCTCTCTGAAAGTTGCCTAGCGTGTTTGGTGTTTACAGGATCCCGGATACGTCGGCAGAGAATTTTAATTATCGATATTGCTATTCAAGTTTTAACACTGGACAGGAATAGCTGCTATTGTTTAGAACTTGATGGGGCCTTGAGAAGATGTGTAAAAGCAAACTCTAAAGTAAGTGCACGTCTCAAAATCAGTATATATGAAGGTGAGGGCAAACAAACCAGGAAAGCAAGAAAGAAAAATATCCTGCATCCTTCAGACCTGCTATCCTCTTTTCGTGACACGCGGGGGGAAACCATCAGGACCAAGAAAATAGGTCCTACATTTTTTTTAAAACTTTTGCGGACGCCGAGGGAAAACAAAATGAATGAGAAGTGTTCAAGATAAACCAGAAAGCCGACTGAAGAAGGGGGGACTCCAAAGGCTTTGAGCTTCATACATAATTTGGAACCTCTCCGTCTCTTTCAACCATACGTCAAGTCGAGGTGTAGCCAGGCGCTTGTCCCGGCGCCCGTCAAAATTCTCTGTTTTATATCCTTACCCTTGTCCTCAAAGCCTCCGGCAGTCGCCTTGCCTTAACTCTATCTCTGTTCTCCCTCACGCCCCTTCCCGCCCCCTCAGGACTTCTCCTTGCCCCAGCCTCGATCCCCTTACCTGACTGGATGGGCAGATCCCCCAGCATAGTATCCCCATTGCTGAGATCCAGGCACTCGGGTGGGTATCCGACGAGGATTCGCTGACAACCGGGGGCGATCCCGGTGATTGCAGCAATTTGGCCCTGGAGTTCCCGCACCCGGGTCTGGCTGGACAAATCCTGCAAAACATAGTTGCCACCTTTGGCTTTGCAGCGGAGCCGCCACTTCGTGTCGGTTAGGCCACCCATTGGCCAGGCACCAGTGGGACCGGCCTTGGTCCCGGCAGCAGGATGGAAAACGCCGCCGGGACAGTCAACCGCGGAGTGGACTCCAAAATGGCCACCCTTTGCCGGGCCAAACATCGCGAGAAGTCGCTGGTGGCTACTATTTTCGCAATACTTTGGTGCAGCTTCTGTTTTAGCGCTTTTGGGAGAACGGACTCTCTTAAAGTGACAACAAACTTTTGTCACCACCCTTCAGGAGCCAAAGGATGAAGGGTTATCAGTATTCCTAAAGAACAAAAGATCTTGCTACCTGTAAAGCGAGTGAGGTGCCCTCCGCGTCGGCAGCATATATGCTCAAGGAAAGGGGGCGGGGAAGGAGTTGCTGAATCCAGTACATTGGAATGTAATCTTGCACGTACTAAGGTCGGAAATTATTAAGTTGGGGCTTCTAAACCACCCCGGGAGAAACAGAATCATAGTTCAGGACGCAAACGAATGCCAAGAATGGTCAGTGAGTCAAAGGACCTGCCCAAAACAACCAGGTACTCGTGAGTAGACTCATGGCTGCAACAAACATTGACTCATTGAGGTTTAAGGGATGACTGGCCTTTCCACTTCCAAGAGACTGTAACTTGAAAATGTCCATTTGTCACATCAGAAAGAGCTGTATGAGGTCAGCCTCATACTGCGCCATTGCCCTAGGCCCTAGGGCAATTGATACTTTCAGGGAAGTGGTGGCGGTGGTGTAAGAAGGACCAAAGAGGACTAATGTGTGTCATCCACATTCCAGTTCAGGCTCTGAGTATACAAATATGAAGATGATTCCATTTCTGCCTTCATTATAACAAGTTATCACTGTAATCGGGAGAGGATGGGGTGTAAAGGACACATAACCACTGAATTTCACAGCAACATAATGCTAGATTACGTGACCCTTTTCAATCTTGTGTCCCTAGAACCAAGGACTGTGCCTAGCAAATAAATGCTCAATAAATACTTGCTGTATGGATAAAGAAAGTTGTATAGGCACAGAGGGCCACTATAATATACTGAGAGTTGTAATAGGCTTTAAAGAAGAGATACTGTTAGAGCTGGTTTGAAGGATAAATTTAATCCTCAGGTAGAGGAATAAAGACATCTCTGAATTTACCTCTCTTCCTAGAAATCCATACTCATTGTTTTTTTTCCATTCTGATAGAGCAGCAAGCCCAAACCTGCGTAAAGGGGGTTTATCAACAGAATCAAGCATCAAATGGACGTGGGGCAACTGAAAAGTTCACTTGAAATGTGTAAACTCACCTCCACTGTAAAAGCCTCTACCCCTGCATAAGTTTTATGTAAGCTTTGTATCTTTTCACATCTTTCATGACCCCTTCTCCTGCTGGAGCGTCTTCGTCTTTGGTTCTTCAATATGATCATAACAGAACGTATAGCGTAGGAGGTAGGAGGGTGAATAAAGGTGGTTAGGAGTCCACTGGAGTACGTAGGTGGGTCCAGGGAAGCTCGCGGTTCGGCGATTAGTTGGTTTTCTTGAGTTACAGTGTCTGACCTAGGGGAAGTATATGCAAACACCCTAAGGTGTAATCAGCTCAAGTATTGCGGTAGATTAGCAAAGAACCTTCTAAAGGTTACGTTCCAATTTATCAATCTAACGAGGGAACTGAGATTCATAGAGGAAAGGGTTAAGCTGCGCAACGTTTCTTCGTCATAGAAGGCTACACCCTCTCCAGACGTTTTAGTGCGCTCTCGCGAGAGTATGAAAAAAAGTAATACGTTTAATGAACCCCGCCCCCAGCCCAATTAGTTGCCAAGCAACGACGCAACCAACCTCCACGGTGCTGGGAAACTTGGGAACTGGCTATCTTCTCAGTTCTCTCCTCCAGGAGCTCGCGTCAGCGATTCCTATTTGAGCCCCGCCTCCTGAAGTGTGCGGGCCCTGGATTGGTCGATGATTCTCTCCAGGTGAGGACCAACGTGGAGGTGGGTGGAGCCAGGCTGGGCCACTTGAATTGCTAGCGACTGGTGTACCGGGCCCCAGGCCACAATCTGTGGGCTCATCTCTGCCGCGTGACGCGGGAAGTGCCGGGGCCACTGCCGGGAGGGATTTTAGGGATCATAGGGTGAGCGACAGCTGTACAGCGCTTGGAAGATCCTGGGGGTGGGCAGGAGGAGCGGGGGGCCTGCGCGCACCCGGGTGAAGTGCGAGACGGTGATGTCTTGCTGTTTCGGGAAAGTGCCGGCCCCCAGACCTAACCCGGAGTGCGGACGTTCAGGGACTTGGAATCGCAGCTGGTGTTTGGGTTGGAGGACTTGAGCGGTCAGTGGAAGAACAGTGCAACATCCTTAAAGCACTAGGACCCTTCTTCCTCAGGAGTTCCTTGTCTGGGCTCGGGAAGTGAGCTCGGGGCTCTCCCGCCACAGTTCGAGTCAGGACTTGACCCTTATTCTGCAGGTGACCTTGAGGAAGTCATTTACCACCTCTTTGTGTCCCAGTGTTCCTTCTCTATAGACTTTGTAACGGGTAGATGGAGAGAATGTGCGGAGCGAGGCTTGAGAGTAAGAACACCTGAGGGGAAGTGGTGACGTGCTACAAATGGGGTGTCCAGTTACAGTTACTTCAGGAAACAAGTTTGATATTTTCCCACTTTCTCATTTTTTTCAGGACTGAATCCTAGCTTCGGACTGCCACTTCTTTGTGATCATGAACTTTATCTGTTCAGAACCCACCCCACACCCCAACTGCTGTCATTGCTCTCCCCAGATTCTTAAACTAGAATTTGAGGTCAGGAAGGAACTCGGATGAGCCAGAGCCACTGAATGGATTGACCTCAGTTTTTCAGTCTGTAAAATGGGAAGAAGTAATAGTGATAGCCTTGCTACAGGAGTGTTGGAAGGATTGAAGGAAGTAATTTATGTGAATGTCACTCTTCAATCAGCATTATAAATGCAAGGTTCTAGTGCTGCATTTGTATGTAGATGAGCAAACAGAGGGCTCAGCGTTCATGACTTATCCTAGGGTATGTAGCTATTAACTGGGAGAAAGAGGGCTGGTCTTGACTCTTGGCCAAGGTATTTTCACTTATACCACACTGATCTTCTTCACTGAGTGTCTTGAAGGGTGCCTTCTTTCTTCCCATTCTTACAGTCCTTTTGTCCGTTGCAGACATCTCCCGAAGAGCTGCCATGTCTGGGAATAATGTATCTTCCTCAGGACAGAACAGCAGCTATGAAACAAAAACCTCAAATCTTCGAATATCAGAGAAGAAATGTTGTAAGTTCTGGCAGAAAGGACGGGTTGCTCTCTCCCAGAATTTTATCTTGGGAATATAGTTGTAATCCGAGACTTTGCTGCTTGGTGGGAGTGGGAAATAATTCTTTGATATGGGAATTTAAAATGGAGTCTGCAAGGGGAAGTTCTGTTAGAAACAACTAGACTCAGTGAAATGCTCCTCTTTGGGGCTAGACAGCTGGTGTAGCCCAGCATATTCTTACTGCTTTCTTTTAATGCAGTCTCTGTCTCCTGGGGTATCTGCACACTTGATGTTAAAAGTTAGGGCAAGCATTATTAGTACAACACTGTTAGTAAGGCAGAGTGGCAACATGCAGGACCTTTGTTTCTTGGGCTGCATTTTGTGAGGGTACTGCTCACTGTAGAAGCTGCAGATAGGAGCCATAGCTCATTTCGACATCCCTCAGTGGAATCAGCCCTGACATTTGACTTTTCACCGTGTTTTGGGCACTTACTTTCTCGCAGATTTAGCCTTTGAACTTTGCAAACTATCTTCCCCGCTAGTTCATCCCTCTGGGGACAGGTTTTACATGGGTATTTTAATGCCGATTCTTTAGACAGAGATGGCAGGTGGGATTGCTGAGAGATGAAGCATCTGCATTCTTAAGCATCATTAGAAACCTCAACAGTGCATAGCCCGGTTCCAGAAGGTCCCAGGCCACTGAGCCCCAGATGTCTTGGGAAAGCTAAAAGAATGCCAAGCTTTCCCTCTTCTCCCAGATTGCATTTTCCTTTGGAACCCTGTCAGTCAGTTCTTCTCACTTCAGTGGTTATATATATCAGCAGGTGGAAATAGCCAAGCAGCACGAGATCTGGAATCATCTCATGTTCAAAGCTTTCTCCAGAGTCTCGACCTTGATGCCATGCCCTTGTCAGTCTCATGATTAATGGCGATAATCTCTCTCCACCTGGCACCAAGGAGGCTTGCTGGGATTTGGGCAGTAGCAGAAGCAGGCTGTTTGGATGTGAATATGGGGTTGGCATACCTCTACGATTAGGCTCTCTCCTTTCTCTGCTAGGGCAGGAAGCTAGTTACTGAGGGCAAATACCCAACAGGACATAACTAATGTAGTGTGATGTTTGAGTGAAGCCGCTGGAGTCAGACTGCTTGCGTTTAATCTGGGATTTAATCCTTTCTAGCCGTGTACCCTTGAACAAGTTGGTTATCTTCTTCATCCCTCAGTTTACTCCTTTATAAAATTGGGATACTCATAGTACCTCCCCTCAGAGTGATGTGAAAATTAAATGAGTGAATATAGGAAAGCACTTAGAAGGGTGTTGGGCACATAGCTATAGCTGCATTATTGTCACTGGTGACTCTTTGCATGTTGTATTTAGTTTTGAAGCATTATATATAAATTGAATTGTGGGCTAAATGCTGTGCTGAGAGCTCACTGTTTACAAGAACCCTGTGAGGAATTATATTTTCAGTAAATAATGTTTTCTCCTCTTGTTTGACAATATTGTAACCCAGTTTTGGGGGCACAGATGTACATCTCAAAGACAGGTGCACTTGATTCAAAAGGGAGCAGAGAGCTGGTGTGTGTGTGTGTTGGGGGGAGTTGATAATTGTGGGAGTCTCTGACTCTGCACAACGCCTGGTGTCAGTCCTAGCTCTGCTTTTGTTTCCAAAGAAATCTCTTACTTGTTTTGACTCTTCTGCAGTTTTTCTGCCTTGAGGGCTTTTGATTAGCCCCGGAAGCAGTAATTCCAGGTCTCTAACCTTCTGGACTCTAATTCCTAGTCTGGGCTCTGATTCTCCTTTTCCAGCTCCACTCTGCACTGCCTCACTGGAAACAATTTGGTTTGTCCTAAAGCCACTGTTCTTCTTTGCCCCATTTCTCTCCCCTTCCGGTTGGACTGTGAGACTGTTAGAGCCACAGTCAAAGGAGAAATATGGTTATGAGAATTTGTGTTAGTTCACTTCCTTTTTCTGTTATTTGCCTGTACCTTGGCTGCTCAGCGTTCACACCCAGGAGTTGCGTTATTAATAGCTCAGCTACTATTCCCATGCTGCTAATTACACCTGTGCTGGCTGGCCTCGATCCTACGGAGTGAGTGAGCTGGAGGATTGAGGAATTACTTTAGGGAGCCAAAACCTCCACAGGAACCTCACTGGAACCTCAGCTGCTCCAGGGGTGGGGGTGAAGGGGAGTGGTGACGGCCGAGGTATCTTTTAGGGGCTCGGATGACTGCTCTAGGGGTCTATGCAGGCAGGGATGTGTGTGTTGTGGGGGAGAGGTCCACGTGCCTTTCTTTCTTTGTTTCCTTTATTCTTTAGTATTTTGGTAGGTCTGGAACAGACAAGTCCCAATGTGTACCTTCCCCTAGTTGCAAAGGCAATACGTGTTCCTGAACTAGCCAAACAATACAGAAAGAAAGTGAAAAGTGAAAAAAATCCCTCACAATTTCTCCTGTCCCTGTAAAGTCCGATTCTTTACAGCATCTTATTCGGGTACATCCTATTAATGAAAAAAGCTCACACTGTACATACTTGGTTCTGCTGCCATTCTTCCCCCTTTTAAAACTTACTATATCTTGGACACTTTTTTTTTCATGTCAGTAAATCCAGATTTACTTCATTCTGCACAGTATTGCATTGGATGGATATGTCAGTCTCCCCTGATGGACATTTCCGTTTCCAGTTTTCTACCATCGCAAACAATACTGCACATACATTGTTGCATGTGTGTACTAGCAACTTTTCTACAGAAATAATAAAAGAAAATAGAAATACATTTAAAATGTTGATCAGCATTATTAATATACTGTCCTACAAAGTTCTACATTGTCAACTGATTTTAATATTTCAAAGTACTTGATGAACTTATGTGTTATTAATTATAGCTGCACTGATTAATGAAAACTTTAACTTTCTTAGTGTTTTGCTGCAGAACTTGGATATTCATACCTATGAGTCCAACAGCAGGAAATAGTGGGCAGTTTTAGGACTGCCCACTATCGATGAATACAAATAAGATAGTACTAATGAAACACAATTTAATAGACAGCATATTCACAAAAACATTAGGCCTACTTAGGACAAATCGTGGAAGAAGACCTTGGTTATGAAAAGGCTGGGAAGCCTCGGTCTTCTGGATCATTCTTCAGGAACGGATCAGAGAGCATAGCTGTGCTAACCATAAGAACCCCTCTGTCAGCTGCTGACAGGGGCTGGTGGCTGGGACTGAAAGGACTGTCCCAACACCAGGAGTCTGGTCAGAGCCCCAGTCTTGACCTTGACTTTCTATCGTGGGCCAAGCTCTTCACTTCTCTGATCTTGGGTTTTTCTGTCTATAGCGGGGAAGTCATCAAGCCCTCATTTACTCTGAGTGCGTTCATGAAGGGAAAAGGAGTCTAAGATTGAGAGAGCGAGTTAAACTTTGTGTAAACAAGATAGAAGAGAATTTCAGGATTGAAAAATTTTGCATTGTATGCCAAGGGGGTGTGTTACATTGTCTCTGAAATTAATCAGCATGAAGCATCTACTATTGAAATGAAGGTGGTGGTGGCGGTTTTATTTTTTAATAGGCAGGACAGTATGCTCCTAGTTCCGCTAATGTGGCAATTTGAGACAGGAAGTGTAATTTAGAGCGGTACTCCGGAAAATGAGAGATCCTGGTTGGCAACCGGTGTGGGCGTGCCAGGCTGGTGGGCAGAAGAGGGAGGTGTGGTGCTGGGGGGCACTGTGGGAGGCCTGAGCGACTTGTATTTTCTTCTGTTCTGAGCCCCCTCTGTCCAGTTTGGTAAACATGGAGCAGCTGGTTACCTCCCAAGTATTAGTGCATTTTCAGGGTATCAGAACCTTTGGGAAATCGCCTAATGGGCTGGAAGGTGTGGACAAGGCAGGCCTAGAAGTGCAGGTAATGAGCCGGATTGGGGGGGTTGAGAAGAAGAGAGAGGCACTGAGCTGGAGAAAGTGAAGACTCAAGAGGATTTAACTACTAAAACCTGAGGCAGCTGATCCCAGGTAGATAGATCATAGATTGGCCTGACAAGGTCAGGGATTAACTTTAGTCAGGCTGCACGGTGAGTTCGCTTGCCTTTGTGCTGCAGATTTGGACAGAGGTGAAAATCACTTCTGGTGGTCAGGCCAGGCATTTTCTAGTGCATAATGGGTAAAGAACAAAAGCCAAGCCTGGGACCCGGAGTCTACCCCTCCCTCACCACCTGGGCCACGCTTTGGCTTCTGAGTACTTCTTGCCAAACGTTCTTAGGAAACTCTCTTCCTTCTGAGGTTTGTTCTTTACCCAGGCCCTTCTGCTCACTTCTCCATTGAGATATTTTCACATTCTTTTCCCAAAAGATAAAAGATGACTTTTCTATCCAAGTACCCCTACTTTACGGAATTGTTTTTTAGCCTTATAGGGCCACCCTGTCCCAGGATAGAGCAGCAGCAACAACTTGCAGGGCACTCTCTGGAAGGCAGTGCTGGGAAGCGAAGGTGGTTCCCCTCCCCCAACCCCCGCAGCAGCCGTTGTCAGTGTGCGCAGAGGAGCCAGCAGAGCCTGAGCCTCCCAGATGACCTCATTTAGGTCTTGGCCTAGGAGAGTGGCTGGCAGCAGTGTGGGGCCCTTACCCATGACTCCTCTGTAGCAGGATGGGCAGAGAAGAGCCAGGCCCAGTGAGCAAGCTGATGACAAATGACAGGGTCTTTTTATGAAGAAAAGCCACTGAGGAAGCACCAGATCTGGTCTCATGCCAGCCCTTCCCATGTCTTACTGTGTGTCCAAAGGCAAGTCACCTGACTGGCTCTGAGCATCTAATTCACCCTGCCTGTCCAGTAAGACCTGTCTATAAATGAATATTCCTAAAATAGGTTTCCTAAGGAAGGGTGGACCAATGACCTTTCCTGCTTCTAAATTGTCTTGCTTTCATAAGGGCCACTGAGGCAGGCTGGCCGTGATGCCCTTGTGGGCTTAGCTTTACTGAAATTTCCTGAGGTCTAGTCAGAATCTGTCAAGGAGGCTTTTCCACAGTAGTCTAAATCTTACTGTGGTTTAGAAATTCTGACTTAAGCCCATGTCCTGAGTGCAAGGCCAAAACAACGTGAAGGCAGGCTCTTTTTGTGGTGGGCAAGCTAATTGTTGCCCTTGGCTCTGAAGGGATAAGTGAGATCCTCAGCCAGACACTCTGCAGGACCTAGCATAGCAGTCCGCTCAGTTCTGCACTGGTAGGGTCTCTAGAAACAGATATTCTTGCGTTAAGCAAGGTGCCATGGTTACTGCCCTTCTAACTCTTTCCCCCTTGGATACCTCTGTGAAGATCTTGGACGTGTGGACAAAACATCTCTTCTTTTGGGGACTTTATGAAAGTCTGTATGGTCCTTTAACTCTTTCAGGAGGGTTTTCCTGATAACTCTTCAGTTTGCCTTCCCAGGCTATCTGGACCCTTGCCTCACTGAGGTTTATGAGGATTAACTAATATTTTAACTATGAAGTTGATAGTAACTGAGCTCAGTGCATGAACCTTACTTGGCCCCTAGTCATTTAGTTCTATTCTGTTCCATTTCACTCCAGCATGGGCATCCTACATGACCAACTCCCCGACTCTCATCGTTATGATTGGCTTGCCAGCCCGGGGCAAAACCTATGTGTCCAAGAAACTCACACGCTACCTCAACTGGATCGGGGTGCCCACCAAAGGTAGGTGCAGCTCATTCATTCTTTGCAAAGGGGAATGATCCGTTCGTCCACCTCACAGGCATCTGGGGGATTTGTTCTTCTTGGCATCAAGGTTACAGGGTGCTCCTGGCAGAAATAGTGGTTGCTTTCTGATTTGCTGAATTTATTCCTTGTTCACAGACTTTTTTCCTTCTGGCCCAGTTTTGAGGAAATGCCTTTGATAGTATACACTTTTCATTTTCAATATGTAAATATACATTTATATTTACATATATATCATCTTGTTTGATCCTAGCAGTACCTCTGTGAAATCGCAGAATTGGCTGAGGAAATTGAAACTGAGTCAGCCTAAAACTTGCCCAAGATCTCATAAAGTCTGAACTTGAGTGTAACTTAACTCTTTATCTGGTATTGTTCCCAACATACCTTGGTGCATTTTTCATCTCCTTGGCCACTTTGACATTAGATCAAGATGTTTCCTTTGGTGGAGTCATTGTGTTGTTTCACTGCTGAGGGTGTTGGTGTCTTCTGCAGTGTTTAATCTTGGGGTTTATCGGCGTGAAGCAGTCAAATCATATAAGTCTTATGACTTCTTCCGGCATGACAATGAAGAGGCTATGAAGATCCGCAAGTGAGTCTCCTTGGCCATCACAAGAGTGGGTGTGATGGGGCTTAGTTTTCCTTTTAGTAAATATCCTGTAGAGATTTTAGTGGAAGTCATTTTCCTGGCAGGTCAGCTTTGGGCTTGGGTGGGTAGAAGGACGGGGCTCAGGTAGGTACATGTATGCTCGTAGATACATGCCTTCAGAGGCAGAAGATGTATGCATGGCACAGGGGAAAGGAAAAGATAAAGGCAGATATAAAAATTTCAGTGGGGAAGTTGAAGGGTCTTGTTAGGGAAATTTTTGACCAGTGAGAAAACCAAGCAGGAAGCGAACTGCTCAGGTCTCTGGCTGTGCCTGAGCTTCGCCTCGCTGCACTCCTCTTGCTGATTTCCTCTGTTCCCATGGCAGACAGTGTGCTGTCGTGGCACTGGAAGACGTTAAGACTTACCTCACTGAGGAGAGTGGGCAGATTGCGGTAAGCCTTACGTGCCTCTTACGTCTACCTCTTGTTCTCCACCGTTTCAAAGCTGCATAGCCTCACCTTGGGTCCATCTTGGTGGGATTCCATTTCCCCTGCCCCATTCATCTACCTTGTGGGCTCTCTTCTCAGGTTTTTGATGCCACCAATACAACCAGGGAGAGGAGGGACATGATTTTGAACTTTGCCAAGGAGAATTCTTTCAAGGTAGGGTCTGACTTCATGCTGGAGGAAGAGGGATAAGTGGAGGTGGGAGTTAGAAGGAACATGTGGATCTGTTTGACTGATGAGTGAGGACAAGACTGGGTATCTGATTCTATCCTCTTGGGGCAATGCCCCCAATTCTTGAGTGTTTTCTTGCAGGTACTTTCTCATACCCTTAGCCTGTATGTCTGAGGCCCTGGGGATGTGGTAAGAGTTATTTTTAAATGAAGAGGCCTTGAAGACACTTTCATGGGGAGAAAAAATCCTCTGCAATGCAGTGGCTTGGGTGGGGCAAGTATAAGCGTGTGCTCTTAATGTACAGCCTGGCCATTTTTGACTCATTTATTACTGCCCTCTCTTCCTGGCCAGGTGTTCTTTGTAGAATCTGTCTGTGATGATCCTGATGTCATTGCTGCCAACATCCTGGTGGGTGACACTCCTGCATACTGCTACCTCTTTATCCTTTGTGCCTTGTATGTGTGGAGGCAGGGTGGAGTGGGGGAAGAGGGAGAGTCAGCTGGGTAATGAAAGAGAGAAATACACGTTTCATATCACTGACTGATCTGTTTGATCTGCCAGAGCACCATGTTGTACTTCCATACTCTTGGGAGCAGGGACTGAGGCTCTGAGGAATAAAGTAAGAATTAGCTGTTTTAGCTGTTGAATGGAGACTACAAGTGGGACTGTAGGGTTTCTGACCCCGTGTTCTGGGTATTAGCTAGATGCTGGGACCTAGGTGTATTCTTAGAATAGACCAGACTCTTCATTATCTGTCAGGGCCGCCTTCTAGGAATGCCATCTGCCCACCCGTTGTCTAATATTCAGGTTAGTGCTCTATGCACACTGAGTGCCTCATGCCCTATGTGGTCACGGCATAAACCAGTGCCTATCTGATGGGTTGTGCTCTGCCGAGTGGATGCCCAGGCATGGCATCGTGGTGGTGCTCTCCCAGCGATATGGGAACTTGGGATGATCTAAAGTTCTAAGAAGAGGTATCTGGTCCAAGTCAGGGACGCAACAAGTCAGGCGCCCTATTCTAAATGGTTGTGGGGAGAAACTGAAGCACATTCTGTCTTCCCAGGAAGATAAAAGAAGGGATTGGGACTCAGTAGCAGCTTCGGCTGCATCATGGCCTCTGTCCTTCAGCCAAGGACTGGCACATGACTCCCCAGTTGTCTTTCCCTTCGTGGTTGCCAGGATCATAGGACTCTGTGGGGGTGGTGCTCAATGAATGGGGATTGCCAGCGCGGCAATGAAACGCCACTTCTGTGGACTTCCTGTTCTTTATTTGGCAGTGGCTCTTTGTAGGAGGGCTATTGAAGGCAGACCTCTGACTAGGTACTGCCCTTCTGTGATTCCAGGAAGTGAAGGTGTCAAGCCCCGATTACCCTGAAAGGGACAGGGAGAATGTGATGGAAGACTTCCTAAAGAGAATTGAGTGCTACAAAGTCACCTATCGACCCCTTGACCCAGACAACTATGACAAGTAAGGGTTAAGGCCATAGTTTGAAGGGCATAAATTGGGATCTCATTTGAGAAAAAAGCCTTTTTCTCTCTGTCTCCAAACTTCCTTCTGACGTTCTAGCCCCATAAAGTTTATATCACTCCAGAGAAACAAAGTATGGATTTGTGGCTTCTTATATTTGCACACTGAAGTGCTGTTTTGTTTTTTTTTTAATCATCAATCTTTTTTTCTGTCCTCTAGAGCAAGATTTCTCAACTTCAACATTATTGACATTTTGAACTGGATAATTCTTTGTAGTAGGGGGTTGTCTTGTGCGTTGTAGGATGTTTAGCAGCATCCTGGCCTCACTGCTCACTAGATACCAGTAACGCTTTCAACCTGTGACAAAACAAAAATGTTTCTGAACATTGCCAAGTGTCCCTGGGGAGTAAAATCGCCCTTGGGTGAGAAGCAGTGCTCTAGATCATAAGTTTTGAACTAGGGTATTATAGGGCTCCCCTTGGAAAATTTTTGATACATTTTAATTATATAGTAAATTTAATTATATATATATATAACATAATACATATATACTATAAAACATGTACATGTGTATTTACATGCAGTATATATATTATTTGTTATATATATCATGCAACTATAAAACATAATATGTATATAAGTAAATCATGGAAAGTCCTCAGCAACATGCTTAGCTTAGGGAAATGTCTGGTCAATGCTCGCTGCCGTTACTGTGTCAGAGTCTGTCAGCAAAGTGGTATACAATATAGGTTAACTCGATGTGTGTGAGGTGTAGGAGCCCTAGCAAAATGTGAAGCTGAATTTGAAGGAGACGTGTGTGCATGGAAAGCTGAGAACGTGGCCTTTGAAAAGGCAAGCAGTTGGAGCAGTTACCAGCTCTATTCCAATATAAATACAGCCCTGCAACCAAGCTAATGAGAGACAAGTGTACGTAACCCTCTGTTTATTCACTCAGTGGTCTGCTTTGAGTCTTTTAGTTCCTTCAAGGGGTTGCCCAGAATGTTAATATTTGGAGGTATTCTTTATACGGAGGTTGAAAACCACTGCCCTCAGTATGGCATAATAGTATATTCTTTAGTTACCCCCAAAGTCGTGCCCAGAAAAACATTCTGGAAGAATGTTGTGTGTGTCTGAGTGTGTGTTTATAGATGGTAGGCTCTGGTGGTAGGCTTATAGATGATTTTTTATTTACATCATTTTCCCCCCTTTTTTTTCTTTTGGAATTTTTTTGAATAAGCACTTGTTATTTTTATAATGAGGTAAATTCTATGATGGCCACAAAGCAAACAGTCCACAGAAGTACCTTGCAGAGGGGCATGGTTTAGGTAGATGCCGGGAATGCGGCGAGATCTCCATGGCTCTGCCTCCTCCTGCCCACCCTTCACCGCTGCTGCTGCTGCACTCTGGCCAGGTCTCCACCGCCTCAGGTGGGGGTTGTGCTTCTCACCCAGTTTCAGGGTTAGCAAAACCTTCAGGTCGTTGTAGTACAGCGCCTGAGGGGAGGCCTGACTTCTGTTTATCACACTTGTTACATTGCATGGTATAGTGGAGGCACTGAGGGATGGACCAGAAGTCTGGGAGACTTCTTTCATCTTGGTTCTGAGGAGTACCCCAGCTCTTACCACTCTGCTCCTTAAATGTGGGTGGGGCTATGACAGGAGAGGAGGAAGAGCTGCTGTGAGCCTGAGAGTAACTATGAAAGCCTTCTCCCTGCTACTGTTTGCCTCAGATTTTCATACCCAGGGGATTTTTTCCCCCGCCCTGTCCCAGGGATCTTTCTTTCATCAAGGTGATAAATGTGGGCCAGCGATTTTTAGTGAACAGAGTCCAGGACTACATCCAGAGCAAGATAGTCTACTACCTCATGAACATCCATGTGCAACCTCGCACCATTTACCTTTGCCGGCACGGAGAGAGCGAGTTCAATCTCTTGGGGAAGATTGGGGGTGACTCTGGCCTATCAGTGCGGGGAAAACAGGTGAGTAGTTAGCAGGCGGTGTTGGAGTTCTTCCTAAATTCCATCGGGGCTTAGGATGAGGATGTGGTTCAGATGGTCAAGCAATTGCTAAACATGCTTTCATGATCACTGATTCTAGCTCTGTATGGAAGTGTGGATAACTTGGAACCATTTCTGCTGTGGTAGTTCAGCTATCAGATTTTTATTGGGTACAACTTGTGTGCTCAGCAGAGTACAGGGTGCTCTAGTTGAAGCTGGTTTCCAGCTTGGGATAATCACCTGTAGCATCTTTCAGATTTTGACGGTGGTCATACACATTGGCCCTTGTAGGCTGAATTAACAGTTGGGTGTGTGTGCATTTTCCTCTTTTAACTTTTTTATTTCAAATCTCAGTTTGCCCAAGCTCTCAGGAAGTTTCTGGAGGAACAGGAGATAGCAGATCTCAAAGTGTGGACGAGCCAGTTGAAGAGGACTATCCAGACTGCTGAGTCCCTGGGGGTGACCTATGAGCAGTGGAAGATTCTGAATGAGATTGATGCTGTGAGTGGGGAGCTTTGATGGCCAGCACAGTCTCCTATTCAGTCAGGAGCTCTCAGGGGCCACGATGTGGGCAGTTTCATCGAAAACCTAGAGCCACCAAGTAGAAATGTTGAGGAAGCTGACACTATGGCTGGTTTGGGAGGAAGTAGGAACATTTGCACCCGTAATTAGGGCTTCCCGTCTGCTTGAGCACCTGTGCCAAAAATGGGACCCAAGCCAATTTTGGGGCACCCCGGGAGAGTGGAGCTCCATTTGGTTCCTTGGTGTGTTTTCTTCCTGGGAAAAACGAATAGCTAACAACACTCATTTCTTTAATTTCTGCTTAGGTCATTTGGTCAGCTATTCTGAAAAAGTCCTTTTCAAATTTTTTCTTGGCTTTCTCTGTCCTTGAGCACAAAAGTAGGCATTTCCTTTTCTTCCTCTGTACCCTTTTATGCTTTCTACAAGAATTCTCCAGTCCCTTCAGTTTCCCCCTCCTTCCCTGCTTCCTGTTCTCTTTATCCTGCTGACTTTTCTTGACCTTTAAATTCCCCACAGTAGTAGGAGAAAGTGGCAGCTTGCGCTAGAGAAGCCCCCTCCTCTCTGCAGTGGCCCTTACCCTGCCAGTCCCACACACCCTGGCCAGTCAGTTGCAGGACATGAAAGGACCCGACACGGTGCCTGGCACGTCGTAAGAAACTAGTGTTCTTCAGTGTTGTCTTCTTTATTTGGGTGGGGCTGTGTGGGTCAGTTTACCTCTATAAGCCAGTGTGGCTCCTTGCAGGGCGTGTGCGAGGAGATGACCTATGCAGAGATTGAGAAGCAGTACCCAGATGAGTTTGCACTTCGAGATCAAGAGAAATATCTATATCGATATCCTGGTGGGGAGGTGAGATTCCCTTCATGTGGGGTAGTCCTGTGCTGGGAGTTTAGTGTTAATTTGGGGGAAATATGATTTTGGAGATCTAGAAAGTGTACTTAACTCATCATTTAGCTTCTCCTACCTTTGGGTCATACTGTCTCTAATTCAGCTTAAGCAGTCTGAATTTGTTAAGATCTCTAGGGAAAAGAGTGACAAGATATACTGTGTTGAGTATATTGTAGAATCAACATGATCTTTTATTGTATTTATTTTTATTTTTAAATATTTGTTACAGATTATCCAATATGTTGGCATACGGTTGTTTGTAATATTTTAAAGTAATCTCTTATATTTCTGTGGTTTCAGTTGTTAGATCTTTGGTGTGACTTTTTTATTTTTATTTTTATTTATTTACTTTTATTTTTTTTATTGGGGCAACATTGGTTAATAGAATTGTATAGGTTTGAGGTGTACAATTCTATAATACATCATCTGTAATGATCTTTTTTACTTCCTTTTTTTCATTCCACCTCCTCAATCCCAACCCCAGCTATGGGTACCAAGTAAATATATGGGCTGTGAATGATTTCCTTATCATCATCAGTGTTTTGGGCTATTTCCTGGTCTAAGTGGCTTCATAGTTTAGGGATGTGTGAGGCAAAGGTAAATAAACAGTACGGCAAAGGTCCAGGAAACCCCTCGGAGCCCCTTGTTGCCTTATACTCTGCCTAATTTTTGGCGGGGGGCGGGGGGAAACACACACATGCTGAATTCAGATCTTCTCCTCTTGACTTTTAGTTTTTTAAGTCTAAATGTTGCTCATGAAAGGTCTGAATATTCTTAAGAGATACCAGGGCTGGGGGAGTTAGCAGGCGACCTGAAGCTGCTGAACCTCCAGGAGGAAAGCCAGCCTGGGAAGGAGGAGCAGCGGCCTCGTTATTCTGGATGCAGCCACTGACTTGGCTGCCAGCTTGCATCCGGTCTCCTGCCAGCCTGCCCCACTTCCCCCAACAGTCGTACCAGGACCTGGTGCAACGGCTGGAGCCTGTCATCATGGAGCTGGAGCGCCAGGGCAACGTCCTCGTCATCTCCCACCAGGCGGTCATGCGCTGTCTCCTGGCCTACTTCTTGGATAAGGGCGCAGGTACCATTGAGGGAGAGGCTGGGGGACACATTTGTGGGAGGGGACTGGACCTGGGGTGGCACCAGGATCCCTGGCAACTGGACCTCTCCCTTTTTCACTCAAACTGAAGTACATTCTTCAGGCAGCAATGTGGGATTCACAGCAGCCACTGGGCCAGCTATTGGCCGAATTGACTCTTGGTACAAAAGCCCCTGCTGGAGGGTGGCTGCTGCTGGAGCTCCGGTCCTGCTTGCCTAAAGGGCAGCACTGAGCTGCCACTCCTGGAAGCATCAGAGAAGGGATTGGACTTATCCAGCTTGTTACTTTGGCTGCAAAGAGGGTGGTATCTTAGAAGCATCTTCATCCTTTGGATTCAGGGTAGGACAGTTCCTGGGTAGAGCCCAAAGGAAGTGCTGCCGGCTTCTCTGACGTTTCCCTTCCTGACCTACCTGACCTTGTAGGAAGCCTGCCAGCTGGCCTTTGGCATACCCATGTGTGCCACAATCTTCCCTTCTGTGGGGCCGTGGCTGCAGCACTTACTCCCGTTTTGCCTGTATGGAAGGATCTAAGATGGACTTCCTTCCTTCCTTAGCCACTCAGTAGCTTGGGTGGCTTCTTTGGTGGCCATCTTGATACTTATCTGGGGGTTAGGGGAAGAGATGCGTAATTCTAGACCAAGGTAAAGGAAACTCATGAGCTCCTTACGTTCTTCCTTCCACTAGCGTGACCTTACTCCATGCTAAGAGTCTTCCCTCATCTGGTCTTTCTGCTTTCAGATGAGCTGCCATACTTGAGGTGCCCTCTCCACACCATCTTCAGACTTACTCCTGTGGCCTACGGTAACTATGAGTTTAGGAGCTGGGCAGGAGGTGGGGGCTGAGGAAGGCCAGCATTTTTGAGTTTTCTCGGAAGTTTGTGTAGAAGTTCAGCTTCATCACCCCTGTATACCAGGAAAGTTCCGTCAGTGCCTTCCATTTTTAAATGAATGTATGTACCGGGGAAAGTATGCATTTTTTCATGGTATGCTTTCCCATATTGAAACTAAGGAATTTTTCTTTGAGCTTTTTTCCCAATGGTCTCCTTTCTTGCTCCTGTTTTCCCAGGGTGCAAAGTGGAAACCATTAAACTCAACGTGGAAGCTGTGAACACTCACCGGGACAAGCCAACTGTAAGTATTTTCCTGCAGGGGAACATGCAGGCTCCTGAGTCTTTGAACATTTGGCATCAAGACACTGGGGTTTCTTTTATATACAAAAGAAAAACAAATCCAGAACTCATATCCTGTGTAGTCTGCTTCCTTTCAAAAGAAAGAGATGTTGAAATTATTATTTTTTAGGATTAGTACCTCTCTCATGAGTCTTGACCTTGAAAACTCCTAGAAATACAGTTAAATATGTAAAGTGTTTGGCTGGAATGAATTGCAAATCCCCCCCCCCCCCAAAGGGCTCCTTTTAGAAAGCAGGATCTAGAAGAACCTGTAGAGTGGGGCGAAGAGGTTTAGGTGTGTTCCTAGGTCCGTCCTGTTAATCTGTTTGTTCTTCAATAAGTCCCTTCCCTTCTTTGTCCCTCTTTACTGCTTTGGAGTATCATGCTCGGGGAGCTTCTCCCTCTACAACCCTTTAGCTTCCTGGGACTAGGGGGCCAGGCCATGGCCCACATCTTGTGAGAGACACTGTCCCAGAGGAAAAGCCGTAGAGGGAGCTGTCGTGGTTATAAGCATTATTTAACCTTTATGAGTGAGCTTTTGTCTTGGCTTTCATTTGTGTGGTGTCCCTCCGTTTCCAATCAGAACAACTTGCCCAAGAACCAAACCCCTGTAAGGATGAGAAGGAACAGCTTTACACCTCTGTCCAGTTCGAATACAATAAGGCGTCCGAGAAATTACAGTGTTGGGAGCCGGCCCCTCAAGCCCCTCAGTCCTCTCCGCGCCCTGGACATGCAAGAAGGGGCCGACCAGCCGAAGACCCAAGTCAGCATTCCGGTGGTGTGACTGCGTGTTTCCCTCCGGTCGTGGCCTCCTGCCCTCGTCACTAATCACCGGGGGGCCATTTGGCTTCCAACCCCCACCCCCAGCACCCCGCCATGACTCTTAACACGGCGCGTGAGGCTGGGTGTTTTTAGACCCAACCCATCTCTTCTGCAGTGTGAAGCGGCTCCCCATTTATGGGCAAGTTGACGAGCTGTGTGTTTTAGAGCAGGTCCTCACTCGGGGTGGCCTGGAGGAGGAGGAAAAGGGATGATGACCTCTGGGGTGATTAGCATGCCTGGGGCTGAGGCTGAGCATGGCCAGTACACTTGGTTCTCCTCAGCCCGTGGCGCCTAAAGTCACTAAAGTTGTTATGGGGGTGCCATGGGGGTGGGGTGGAGGGGGACACAGAAGCCCATTTTCCCATCACTTTTGCCCCTTTGAGGTGTGCCTTACTCACAGTTCTTACCTGCCTGCTTTCCTCCCCTCCCTCATCTCCGCATTGGATTGTCTGGTGTGCTGCATGCCGTTGTCACTGTGGTGTCTGCCTAGGAGGGAAGGGGAGGTTGGCGAGAGAGAAGTCCAGGCTCCATTGATTTCTCTCAACAGCGGGTCCGCATGGTGTGGGCGGGGGAAGCCTTTCTTTTCCCTTGTCCCTTTCTCTCAAGCTAGGTCCTGCAAGGGTCAGCCTAGGCTATACAACACTCACAAATACTGAGATGCTCTGGAGCCAGTAAGTGGATACAGGGTGAGAGTTCTCGCCTCTTTCACGAGAAGTAGTCCTAAGGGATTGATGCCCGGGGGAAAGCTGGCTCTGAGAATGTAGGAAACACCTTGGTTTGTATTTTTCACTTCAAGATCCAGGCACAGGTCTTTTGGCGGCTGTGGAGTCAAGTTTAGGAGTGCGGTGGTCTCTAGCTGCTGCAGGGCTCTTTTAGAGCAGGTCATATTTTTTCTCCAGTGGCTCCCAGCTTCTTTGCCACCCGCTGCAGGCCAGTGGCCTCTGGGGCCATTTAGAAGGACAGTCCCCGCTGATGCAGGAGTCACTACTGACGTTTCACTTGCTCAAGTCAAAAGGCAGTAGAGTTCACTGGAGCTGCTTATTATTTTCCAGTAATTTTCAAAACTCCTTTTTAAGTTGGAAACTCTGGAGGAGTCTTGGGACCCTGTGGGGTGTAGCTCTTCACTGCTCGTGTTTCCCTATTCACGTCTGTCATTTTATTTTCTCATAGGGCTAAACAGGAAATGTTTACAGAAGGGATTCTTAGCCCCTTGGTGACTCATGATAGCATGCTTCTCCCCCAAAATTTGTATGCAAAACATATGAATACGTGGGCATTTTTCTGAGAAGCAAGTCTAGAGTTCTCATGAAATCTTTAATTTCAATTTTTTATATTAAAAAATTGGGGAAAAAAAAGGAGAGAAATGACTCCATCTTAAAGTTATTAATTTGTCTTTTAGAAGTAACCAGTGAGAACAAGTTAGTTATTTGCCAAGGGTGTTTTCGGTAATAGAAGACCTTTTGTTACTGTTCTTATCTGGGAGTATTCGTTAGAACCCCCTTTAGAACTTTTGAAATGTGCACATGCCTGGGTCTGCTTGGGGCTTAACATTCACTCAGAATCTCTGGGGTTGGGATCTGCACACGCGTGTGTTTACACGTCTTCCCTGTCGATCCTGATTCATGCAGCAGGTTCAAACTCCATTCTATGAAATTGGGTGACAAATACTGGGATAGTAGTTCCTTGGACACAGCAGCAACCTCGGAATTCTGAATCCCCCATGAAGTTAGATGTTTAGCAGATCGCAATATTAAATGAAATGACCCCCTCAAAAGCAGGCTGCTGTGTTTTTGAGGGTTATTCTAGGTTCTAGTCCCCTCTTTAACCCTTTACATTGCAGGGTGGTGTGGAACAAATCACGATGTAAATAAGTGTCCTTTATAATAGCTGGGAATTTGAAGCACCCTGGAGAAAGTACTGAGATAAACCTGTAGGATGAGAAAGGTTATCATCACAGGCAGCTGACTGGTGACCTTGAGTCCTTGATTCTTGTATCTTGAATAGGACATCACAGTGAGTTTCCCAAGGCTGCTTGCCCAGATTCTGCTTGAAATTACATCAGTGTGCGCTTCCTGTTTAGCATTTGCATAAGTGTACCCAGTGTCTCAATTTGTGAGGCTTTGGGCTGGGTGGGAGTAGGCGTGGAGGAGTACATAGAAGTAGAAGGAAAGGTGCTTGCCCCAAAACAAGTTAATTTAGAAACAGGGCATATAATTTATAGTAAGTGAGCATTTGCACAAGAGCAATACCTTGTAAGTGCAGGCACTAAAGTGGAGTACAGATTGTTTCTCCTGACCTTTCTCTTGTCCTTGGCTATGCGATTAAAAGAGTTGGGAGAATGAGTTGTGGTCTAGGACATATGTGTAGCACTTTTTGGTGGTTGCCTCATCTATTTTGCTTGGCTGGTGGTATCTGCAGCCCAAATGAGCATTCATTCCACCTTTTCTTCTGCTGAGCTGTGAAAGTAATTCAGAGTTAATGAATGAGAAGGAGCATTTTGATCTAAAGACTTTGGATTTGGCCTGCACATATACTTAGTGAGAGGAGAAGTATCTAACAAACTAATGCTTTGTTACCTTGGTATGAGCCCCAGCATTAGCCACAGGTCACTGGGATGTTCATGTGGATGGCTTCTCTGCACTACCCCATGTGCTAGTTTGCTTCCCTCAGAAGAACAGCCTGAGGTGGTCTTACTACTCTCAGATAGGACACAAGAAATTACAACTTGAGAACAGCAAAGGTGTCAGCATTCTTCAATTTTTAGAGCAAGATCTCTAGAGAGGGTTCAGCTCCTCTCTAGGAAGAAGCCAGGAGAACACAGGATGGCATGGAGCTCCAGATTTTACACGAGTCCTGTCTTTGTTTCCCTGCCCTCCTCTCTCATTTTTACTTGGTTGTGCATTGGTAGTATATCAACATTACTGTGATTATATCTATATCACAAATCCTACAAGAAAGGGTGGACTCCAGAGTACTTTTTTGCTGAGTCTTCAGTTTTGTTATGGGAGAAATTGGTGAAGGCTTTAGCATTTATCAATTGACAGAAAATTGGGAAAGGAAAATCACTATATTCAATTTTTTTTCTATTTTTAGTTATAGTTGACATTCATTTTCTATTTGTTATTGCTTTAAAGCTGAATGAGGCCCTAGACAGGTAGCTCAGGTGGTTAGAGTGTCGTCTTGATATGCCAAGGTTGTGGGTTGGTTCCCCAGGCAGGGCCCATACAAAAATCAACCAGTGAATGCATAAAAAAGTGGAACAACAAAAATGATATTTCTCTTTCTCTGAAATCAATTAAAAACCCCCAAAGAGCTGGATGAGGAATTCTGTGACAGACTTGAAAGGGAAATCTAAAGTAGATTTAATCTAAAGCTTCTCTTTCTATCTTCTAATCCTCAGAATTGAATTAGCTGTTACTTATTATCTGTAATGTCTTGGTTTTGTTCTGTAAAGGGATTATTTTACAATCCTTTGGAAAATAGAATAGGAAAATATTTTAAAACTTTTAAAACTTTGTGTTAAGTGTTCTTATCATTCTCTCCTTTTTTAAAAATCCTCACTTGAGGATATGTTTTATTGATTTTAGAGAGAGAGGAAGGGAGAGAAAGAGAGGAACATTGATGTGAGAGAGAAATGTCAATTGGTTGCCTCCCATATGTGCCCTGACCAGAGACTGAACCCACAGCTTTTTGGTGTGTGGATGACATTCTCCAACCGACTGAGCCACCTAGCCAAGGCTGTCACTGGTTTTTGTTTTTTTGTTTTTGTTTTTCCCCCCAAGAAATTTGTATTCCTAGGCTGAACAGTTGAGTGTTTCCCGTGAAGTTCTGGCTCTTCCTCTTCGTAACTCACTTGCACTGGCATTTTGAAAAACATGCCAGATGTTAGGAAATAAATCCATCTTAAATGGTTTTTCAGTGATCAGGAGATCTGAGTTCCAGAGACACTTATGGGTGCTTGGGATAGTCAAAGGACAAGGGAAAACGTGTCTAAAAATTGAGAGAACTATTTCTGGGTTATATAGTCTTATGCGCATTTTATTGTTTTTGATAAGCTTAGAAGTCAGGTTGTTTGTTTTCAAGAAATTTTATATATTTACCCAGGTTTTCCAGTATGCATTTTGACTTGTGTTTTAAAGTGTTTTAATTTTTAAAATTGTGTAACGATTTAGTCAAGTTTAGCAGGATTGATATTTTACTTCTCATAGAGGTGACACAGACATCAGCAGTAGGTCTAGGAATCTAATTTAAACTCGTGTCCAGAAGACTCTATGTAGTAGCAGTAGCTATATGCTGACTGACAGACTCTTGTAGGGTTCATGTGCTAACTGACTGACTGGCTCTAGTAGAGTCTGTATGCTGATTGACTGAAAGGAAGTAAACACTCCACATTTTTTCTTCAGGAGGAAGTTAATAGACATTTCTTTTAGAGTAGCAGCCTAAGTTTCATCAGTTTGTAGAAAATGAAGGTTGTATATCACTTGTATGACATTTTGTAAACTCTGCTAAGGAAACGCCTTCTCAAAGCCTGAAATTATTATTCTGCTTGAAGTTATCCCTTTCATTCCCCACTTACAGGTAGGGTTTTGCTGTCACCCCCCATTTCTGAACCTTCTGTGTCCACAGCTTTTGTTCTATCGCCTGCAGCACTCCCTTGGATAATGCCGCTGCTTTTAGTCGGACGTGCGTTTGGCACTCGTTATTTAATAGAGAAACATGCAAACGTAATTTTACATTCAAAATTGATTTTAAGAGGTTGCAAACTATTCCTCCCAGTAAGTCTTTCACTGGGGAATCTATGACCAGTAAGTCTTTCACTGGAGAATCTATGACCAATATTTATCTATTCAATGTTTTTGTGTCTGAATTACTTGTGTACATTTTTTAATTGTGTTGAAGTAACAAGATCAACTCATTCTGATGTGGTGATGGCTTTGCTATGACAAAAGCAAAGGACCCGATCATCAACTGTGCCCTTTTGGAGGGGTTGGGAGTGGGCTGTGTACTACTGGGTTGAATGGGAATGGACTGAATTGGAAACCCAAGCAATAGAATTACCTTGCTGATTTCCTGGGCACAGCTCTGTTGAAAGAAGGAACGTAAGTCCTTAACAGCATTCTGATTTAATCTGGTAACACTTATAGCAAAATATGCCACTCAGATCCACCTAAGGTGTGTATAACTGTATTTGAAATGTGTTTTGTGTGTGTGTGCAGAATGGGAAAATAAAATTGTTGATTAACTTTAACCTTTCAGAATGCTTCTGGGTTTTTTGTTTTGTATTTTGGGTTGTGTTCTCACCCATTCCACCACCCTCAAAACTGCCTCACACTACTTAGTGGTTGAGCCACACAAGCCAAAGGCAGTTTCCCACTGCGGCTGGAGTCCTTGGTGTAGGCATGGCTCTCTTGCACCACCTTCTGGGGAAGATGGGAAGGACACTATGGAAGGCAAGTGAACTGTAGGAGTTCTGTGTACTTTTTGACACCTCTCCAAGAATTACCTCTTACCTTTGACCACACTGCACTATGACTCCCATTAATAACACGTAACTCACTATTTACTGTAAAGACCAACTTTGGAAATCTCTTAGAATTTAGTGGGCTGTTTCTTCTAAATATGACCTGCCTGTTTCTAAATAGGTTATAGCCAGTGGGATAAAACAGTGTTTAAGTTCTTCTGCGACAGGAGAATACAGGTAGAATTGTGTCATCATTCTAATGCCTTACTCTTTGTTAACAAGGACCTGGAGCTCATTAGACATGCAGATTCTCAGGCTCCACCCCAGGCCTACTGAATCAGAATCTGCATCTTCACAGGATTCCATGGTGACCCAAATGCACACTTAACATTTGAGAAACACTGTTCTAGATGGAAGAATTTCTCACAAGCTAAACTGTAAAATCCCAGTTTATGGGAAGAAGTTGATTTCTTCTCCAATGACTGATGTCAGGATGGGTTGAACTAACTACCAGGGTAGAGACTCTCCTCAGAAGCCAAGTAGCTGCTGACTGCAATGTCACTTTCTTGGCATGGCCTTTTGGCTGATGGTGCCAACATACTCTCCTTTTACCACAGGGCTCCCTACAGCTTCTGCCTCATATCTTGGGTATGTAGCTTAAAGTTTGAAAAGGGTGCCTGCCTGGTTCAACATGGCACAAGGAAGTCGGTTTTTCTGGGAAAGGAGCCCATGACTGTGCCACTGGAGTGTGTCTGACTCTTGAGAGTAAAGGGGTGTGTGCAGGTCTGCGTGCACCTGTGGGGATGTGGGCGGGGGCGGGGAGAGGCAGTGGAAGAGTCGGGGTTGGGGGGGAGGGATTCTGCTCTACTTTTATTTGCCATTTGGTGGGGGTATAACAGCCTTGTTTCCCTTCCTTCCTGGCTCCTAGGCAGAGACCTCGCTGACTGTGCCTAGACGCTCCTCTCCGGCCTCCCTCCCATTGCTCTCCTGATGTGGAAGCTGAGCCACACCTCCCTGGGGGACTGGAGTCTGCCGAAAATCTTGGATGTCTGCTCCACGAGTGTTTGAACGGGAAGTGAAGTGGGGATTGGACATTGGGGACCACCAAAGTGATACCTGGAAAACCACCACCACATTTCTCCCCCTCATGCCTAATGGGAATATCAGCTACACTGAAAAACGTCATTTCTTTGTGCCTCAAAACATTGAACAGGCTGAGCCGGTTAGTTTTTTATGATCTTTTTGCTGGGTTTGGCCCAAGTTGGTCAATCTGCTTTTGTTTTGGCATTTCACATCCTACCTGTGACTAGCTCTAGCTGGCTGCTTTTTGCCTAAAGCGCAATTGCGTTGCTTCAGATTTCATTGTTTCCAGGTGAGAGGGCTGAACTCTGTAAGCCCTTCCTTCGCTATAAGAGCTGGTCTCTGCATCCATTCCAGGTGAGCAGGATAGATGACAAGTTACATATGTTGGCATTCACTCTTCTGTCACATTGGAAAGGCAAATTCACCAGGGGAATGGAGGACATCTGAGAAATGCAGTCCCTGAAAACATCTGTCCTGTGGTGATGGAAGAGGGGTGTCAGGAGCAACTTTTTCTTTTAGAGAAGTTTTTCTTGTTCCAGGCCCCTGAAGGGCAGAATGTGAACGCAAGCCTCCCCCAAATGGGTACCCATCTTCTAAGCTCTCCTTTGTGGCTGCTGTGTTTTCAACCTGATGCTGCCTGAGTGTCTCATAGGTGAAGAAGGCTGATGTTTTCTCTGGTGAGTGGGAATGAGGACTGGAGAGAAAGGCGGGGAGCCATTTACACCACATGAAGGAGTAAAGGTTCCTTGGGAATCAGCTCTATCAGGGAGTTCTTTTGGTTTCAAAACAAACCAAACAGGTACCATTCTGTGGGCTTTGTCACCATGATATGGTCATACAAGAAAGCAGTGGCTGTGACTTTAAGAGCAGCTGGTCTTCTGATGCCTGCCTCTTAGCTAGTGGTCTCTAATTTGGTCTGCCTGTCTCATGTGAAACTTTGGGGGTACAGGGGGAACCAAGCCCTTAGTGCATGAGTCATTGGGTTCTCTTTAAAGATCAGCCAGGTAATTATGCTTTACATCAGTGATTGTCAAATATGTCTCTAGATATGGCATTAATATGTCACTCCTCCTGAAGGAGTAGGGAAGCCACAAAAGATATCTTACAAGCAAAATCATTTCTTGTTTTAAGAATGGTAAATTTTTTACATGTTTTTTCCTTTTCACTCAGATGCCCACTTGCTGGGCCAGAGGGTGAATAGCAAGGAAAGTAATGAAATGTAGCCGTTCCCAAATGGTTCTTTTGTACTGTGGCTGTTACCGGAGATGTGATGAGCTGGGCTGCAGGCAGTTCAGCATCCAGCAACCGGGAGCTTATTTTATACACACAAAGCTGCCTTCAGAAAGGCTCCTGGCTGCGCTCTGTAACAGGTGATTTTCATCTGGCTGCTCATAACACGCTGTACTGGAATGATTTTGTTCTTGGGATGCAGGTTTCTTTCTGTGTCTATATACACTGTCTTTTGATGATCATATAACTTTTTTATTTAGTTATTTATTCATCCATGTAAAGTATTTTTAAGTCCCTATATTAGTGTTTGCATGTATTTAATCAGAATGTAAGGTAATTTGTATTGTCAGTTTTTTGGTAGAAATTGAGGTACTTTGAACATTCAAGTCTAATGTCCATAGTATTACCTTAAATTAAAATTCCAGAATATAGGTATCTGTCTTCTGTAAAAAGATAATTATATTAAGGCACAGTGGATTTCTTTGAATCCTTTTTTTGCTCACTGATTTTTATTTATAAATTAAGAGATGCATTTCTCTGCAGAAAAGTTTCTCAGATAAATAAAATCATGCTAAAATATGTAATATGTATTGCTTTTGTAATAAGAAATACAATAAAAGTTATTTTTAATTAAAAATGCGGTTTTTGAAATCAAAGAAAAGAAATTTGGTATATTATACATACACAAAATGTTAGTAACATTGTGCATAATGTATTTGAAACTAGCTTCTTTAAAATGATTCCTACATTATTAGATTGCATCTATATTTTCAACTTGTGGTTTTAACTGGTGGACTCCTGCCTTTATCAAATTTACTAGCATTTCAGAATGATAGCAGTGGGCTCATTGCAGTTGTGCATTATCAACATTCTAAAGCTTTATTAATTTATTTAACAAATATTTAATGATCACATTCGTTTCCATGCAATAGTTAAGACAATGTCACTGTGCTTTGCCCCAGCTGGTGGGGCTCAGTGGATTGAGTGCTGGCCTGTGAACCAAAGGGTCGCTGGTTAGATTCCCAGTCAGGGCCCATGGGGCGCGTGAGAGGCAACCACACATTGATGTTTTCCTCTCTTTCTCCCTCTCTTCCTCTCTCTCTAAAAATAAATAAATAAATTGAAAAAAAGTCTCTGTCCTTTTTCTGGAGTTTATTATTGGAAAGGAAAAAGTAAACAGCAGTTCTGTAACCTATCCCTCCCTATTGGGGATGCCTTTCCTCTTATGAATAACCTTGACCAAAACCATTATTAGGTAATAGTTATGTAAATGTTTATGGTAAAGGAACTTGGAACACTCCCTTTAGAGTCAGTAGCAATAGAGAGAAAATGAAATATAGTAGCAGTAGAACAATTGCAAGTTCTATAGTCCGAGACATCTGATAGGATGAAAATGATTTATTAATTCTCAAGGTTAGTAATATAGTGAGAGACAGTGGCTATAAGTATTGCTAAATATACTGAGCTTTAGCAATATATCTGGAGGAGTAAGAATAGTGAGGGTGTCAAGCGTGTGATTGCCTTAGATCTAAGCACCTTTGCAAGTGGTTTCTTACTCAGCAATCAACCCATAATTTGTAGAAGGCTGGGAGGGTGTGGCATACTTCACCCTGTTTTGCAAATAGGTGAATGAACACCCTTTAAAAATTTTTTTTATTGTTGTTCAATTAGAGTTGCCCCCATTTTTCCCCCATTGCTCTTCCCTGCCCTGCCCCACCCACATTCAGTCTCCCCCCCCCCCGACCCCCTCATTGTCCTTGTCCATGGGCCCTTCATACATTTTCCTTGACCCTTCTCTTCCCACTTATTCCCTACCCCTCTCTGGTCACTGTCAGATTGTTCTTAATGCTCAGTGAAATGAGCCAGGGGGTGAAAGACAAATGCCGTATGATCTCACCTATAAGTGGAACCTAATCAACAAACAAGAAAGCAAGCCAAATAGAACCAGAGACATTGAAATAAAAAACACCCTTACTGAGTAGCTCATCTCAACACTGATGCAATTTTTGTCAAAGCCCATAGCTCAGAACAAGGTAAACCATACGATTTGTAATGGTGAGGGCCCAACAAACACAACATAGTACTATTTTGATATGTAGCTGGAAGCTTAACAAATATATCAGGCTTAGAAAATGACTATTCAGAAAGTACTCCATTACTTGCTTAATTTCTGTAACCTTATTTATTACATGATGTTTTAAACTCTAAGCTCTTCGCTGGTGACTCCCTGTTAGGAGATTTGGCCTTCAGGCTCATGAGCTGGGCCTTGTGGAATATTTAAGAATTTGAATGGATTGTAGAAATCATGGAGAGTGGTATTTTATTTTTCTTACAAACTTCAAGGCACAGTCTTCTTTTATTGTCATTAAGCCCATGCCAGCTGTATTATTTTAATCATTACAGGCAGAACTCGTTCTGAATTCCCAAAGGCATTTAAATGCCCTTTTGGGTTGTATGCAATACCTCATCTGTGAAAACCAGATCAGATTCTATAGGTGAATTTATCTTTGCAATTGAGGGAAACCATTTCAGAAGCAGAGGGACCCCTGGGAAGCAGCATTCCATATCTAATGAGGTTCAAAAAGGGTAATGATCTCCACTGACCATCCAACCCTCTTTCAGAACATATCTTGTTGATTCATTTGGATTCTCTTCATTATGATCTGCTTACCTTAATGTTTAAATTCAGTTTTCACTTCCCAGGATCTCTCCTTTCTTATTCACTGCCTTTTTAGAATTTTTGAATGGGATGGGAAACAGCCTCTGGGCCATCATTTGTAGGAGCCAGGGAGACTCCAGCATCATTCACCCTGTTTTACAACTTCTGCACCTCGTCTATTACCCCAGTTCTCCAGAAACCAATCTGGATGAGATCAAATTGTACTTAATGTTCAAAGGTCTAGAAGAGACTTTAATGCTTATTTACTTATTTATCTAAACTTGGACATTCATAATAAAACATGTAATTCTATATCCCATATGAAATTGCAAAATTTAAATAGCATTGAAAACAAAGTTTTCTTCTAGTTTATTTGACAGCAAAGCCTGACCTGAACTTTGTGAGAGTATTTATAGTCTCTGTATATCCCACTCAGTATAAATATTTTTTGCATTTCATGGAGAAATATTAGCAAAACAATATTATAACCAGTACCTTTCTAAACCTTTCTAAAGTCCTAATAATTCTGAATCTGAAATAAACCATTGGATGAAAAATGACTTGCAATTATTTCATGTAATAATGCTCTATTTTATGCCCATATTTAGGAATAGACAAAATTTTATTTTACTTTTAAAAATAATTTGTTGTACAAACACTATGTACATTAGATACTGAGAAAATTGTATTCTTCAAGCTGAATATGTACTATGTTAAGAAAAAGTACTCAAAACTTGGAAGTAGGTAAAAAAGGGATCACTGGAGAAATTTTTCAGGGGATTATTGAGTATTCTCTGGCAGACTCTGGGGATTATCCATTCTCCAGAAATCACACAGAGGTATGTAACTTTGGTTGACTTTCTATTAACTAGGCTTTTTTTATAACTATAAAAGTAGAGGTTAATTTGTAGAAAATGAATAAGAATGCAAATGATTCTTTTCTGAGAACACTGCAGAGGATTCTGATCAGAGCAAAACAAATGAATTTGTCCAATAGATTCAATTAATGTTCATCAATTAGAAAAGGTGTTTCCTGCCCTGGCTGGTGTGGCTCAGTGGATTGAGTGCCAGCCTGCAAACCAAAGGGTCACTGGTTCAATTCCCAGTCAGGGCACATGCCTGGGTTGTAGGCCAGGTCCTGAGTAAGGGGGTGCGTGAGAGGCAATTACACATTGATGCTTCTCTCCCTCTCTTTCTCCCTCCCTTCCTCTCTGTCTAAAAAAAAAAAAAAACTTTGGAAAATATAAATTAATAAAAAGAAAAGCTGTTTCCAATATTAGCTTGTTGCCCTGTATGATAACAACCACTTTTGCATCTACGGAAAAAGAGATTTCAGAATGACTGCTGACTGCCTATACGTAAATCTTGGTTCCTCAAATTCTTTTTCGAACTAGGTATAGCATCTTAACGGTTCCCTCATCAATTGAGTTGAATAAAATCTTTGACACATACTCATATTTATATGAGTGACATGTTACTAACTTTTTGGAAATTATACTTTAAAAAGTGTTTGCATGCCATGAACTCACATATTAATGGACCAAAGAGAAGATGTAGAAAAACCAGAGAGGCAATATACATTAAATGATAAATTATCAGTGCGGATTTGAGAGGCAGTGGTAGAGTTTCTGGATGACTGTGTTTTTTTTCATGTATTCTGCATTGCCTTTGATTCATTTAGCAGATAATTCTGCTGTGCATTCTAGAGTGCAGAGGAAGGAACGCACACACACGAGGCACACTCCCTGTCCTAGAGTTGTTAACAGTCTAGCAGGGTTGAAAGACATGAACAAGTCATTATAAAGTAATGCTAATGAGTAGAGAAGAGAATAATATTTGAGACCTCACTGTATCCTTATGTTTTATATTTATTATAATGCTTTATACTATTTTTTAAACCTAAAATTTTGTACAAATTTTACCCCAATTTTATAATTAGAACATGGAAAACCAGCTAATTGCTGTAACAGTTGTGAACAAGAAGCTATGGTAGCCCCAAAGCAACTGAGACCAAAGCATTCCCAGCACCTTTCTCTCTCAGTTCATTTTGTTGACTCTAAACTCAGGTCAAATCCAGGAAAACCCACAGTATGGGAAGGTTGGCACAGGCCTGGCTAAAATGAGGACAATGTGTCACTGCAGGACTTTTGAATTCCTCTCAGGTTTGGAGTCAGGACAAGCTCCTTGTTGGAAAGTCATAAATCTGGAAGATCAGAGACAGGTAAGGTTAGTTGAACTTCCTGGGCTTTCAGTCTCTGGTGCTGCTCACAGCCTTAGGATGTCTGGTATTCTCAAAAGGGGTATGGAGTAGCACCTGAAGCTGGGTTTTACTTGGGAAAGCATCGGGGATTCTCACCCCTTCTGTCACCCACAATGCTAAAGAGGGTTGCAGAAGGTGGACTTTAAACATTGGCAAATATTGACAGAAGTGAAGGTCATGGCAAGACCATATTTGGCTCATGTCTTTTGTGGAAGCCTGTGGTCCAAAGGGACTGGTCAACTGGATTTGCCTGTGCAATTTATGAAGCTGAGTTTTAAATCTGGCAGCTCTTTGGCTACCCTCTGTGTTTTTGTGAAACCCCTCCCTGTGCCACTTTCCTTACAGTTGTTTTTATTTCTTGTTGCAAGATTTTTTTCTTCATGTTTTTTCAGGAAAGAGGAATCGATACAACCCCTTCTCTAGGAGGAAGGTGGTTGGTTGGTCTGATCTTAAGCAATGTTAGAAGATCTTTTTTGATCCAAACCGGGTGTCTGGGCTGGATTAATTCCAGCCTGGGTCAAGCAATTGATCACAAGATGTTTTTTCGGTTGGTTTGTTATCTTGTGGTTGGGTGGCTGATTTCTGGCTCAGATGGTATGTATGTTTTTCTTAAACTCAATCTTCAAGGGACTTGATATTAGTTTGTGGGTTATGAGACATTCTGTCTAGAGTTTTAATGAAATTTAAATCAATGATATACATTTGCCTTCTTGAAAAATCTCAAATTATTTGGCAGAATTCTGTGTACTTCATTAGGGTCTTAGTAAATATTTAATGACAGTTCTGCTCTGTCAGTGGGTGGCTACCTGCTTACTTTCCCCTTCTGTTCTAGGACCAAAAACAGTACCGCTGTCAAAATCTTGAGAGGTCTTATATGTTACAAACTCCAGGACTGCCATTTGGAAAGAGCGTTGTTTCTTTAGGAGTGGATCACTTACGGCTGAATTTGAGTGAAATTTCTGTTATTCTCTTGAAAACGAAACTTTGGGAATTCTTGGGTAGGAAGGAATGTGGATGCACATGGACATGGAAGAGTACAAGGAATCGGAATCAATAATCCAGCAAAAAGAGAGTCAAAGTTTGGCGAGGGGACCTAATAAGCACTTCCTCATAGCACATGATTTCCCAAGTCAATCAGTTTCCTTTTTCCTTCCAGCAGAGAGCTGTCCAGATCTTCCTCCAGTGGACAATAGCATATTTGTTGCAGTGGAGGAAAAAGGACAAATTCTGGGGACTTACTTTTGTTCTAAGGGCTACCACCTGGCAAAAGAGGGAACCGTTTTTTGCAAAGCCACTAAGGGATGGAATGCCTCCAAGGGATGGAATGCCTCCCCTCTCAAGTGCCGCTGTAAGTATAATCTTTTTGCTTCTTTGTTCATCTTCTCATCCCACTGGATTCTTTCACATGCTACCTCCAGGAGTCCATGTTAAAACTTGATAAGAATCCTTCTAGTAATAAATTTTTAATGAACTCTAATGGTGGAACTTCTTTTTGATGGTACATGGTCAGCTCTTAATAGATTCAATTACCACTACAAGAAGGAAAGAATTTCTATCACATAATAAAATGACTCTTGCGGGGCTATAATTTGTTTAATATACTTTGTTTAATAATTTTAAACTTATACAAAAGACAGATGAGGGAAATGAATGCATATGTACTTACCACCCAGCTTCAACAAGTATCAACACATGACTAATCTTTTTTCATCTACAATTCTGTTTTGCATTATTATTTTGAGGGAAATATATCATATCATTTTTCTTCACTCATCATATAACGTTGAGCTGGGCAAACTTTATGTTCTCAATTTACAAATGCGATAACTGAAATCCAAATAATTTGCTCAAGTTCACAAAACTCATTTGTGGTGTCTGTAAAGGTGGAGAAGACGTAGTCCATGTTCTCTTTATTATTACTATTTTTAGGAATAATTGGATTGATTAGTCTTCCTTTATACCAGAATAAAGCACAACAACATGTTTGCCTTTTATACATATGACCAGATTCACATCTCTCTGCATTCTCTCCTGTTTTTCCACCTGGGAAAACAAAATGAAGTTAAAAATAATGTATGTATTTGGCTGGATAAAGGGGAAGGAAACACTCGCCTCAAACACAGGCTCAAGAATTTTGAGCAGTGCTTTACAGAACAGGAGGATAAATGTGCTATTGGTGATTTCCAGTTATATGCTTAATTACTTTTCGTAAGTTTAAGCACCAGCTGTCACTCTTGTGTGAGACTAAGACCTTTTCTGCCATACTTCGGCCGGCCCAGTCTTTTCTTATCCTGCGTTGATCCGGTTTGGCACCGCTTCCCAGTCCCTACTGAAAGAGTGCACTTTTATCTCCAATTCCCGGTTTTCTCAATGAAGCCTTGGGGGAGGGGGGTGGGGGAGAGGGTCTAGTGTTTGCTGTGGTGGGTTTCGTCCTGGCCCTTTCAGTTCACTGCCTGTTTTCCTCCTCAGTGGGCCACTGTCCTGACCCTGTGCTGGCAAATGGTGAGGTTAGTTCCCTGGGGCCTGTGAATGTGAGTGACAAAATCACGTTTAAGTGCCATGAGAACTACATCCTCAAGGGCAGCAATTGGAGCCAGTGCGCAGAGGACCACACCTGGGTGCCTCCCCTTCCTGTCTGCAAAAGCAGTAAGTACAATAGAAACAAACGCAAATCCCAGAGATGCTGATCAGAAGTGACACTTTAGCCATTTGCCACATCCCTTCAGTACTTTCCTCTTCTTTGTACCTGGGAATGGTTTAGGATCTAAAAGACAACCAAGAAACAAGTGGAGCCCACAGAGCGGAGCCTCGGCTCAGGCAGTATATTCCAATGAAGCGAGCAGCATTCAGATAGTAAACAACACCTTTTTTCTTTTTTCAGGGAGGATTCCTGTCCTACTAGGTCCAACACAGGATAGTTTGGGACAACTGATTTTTTTTTTTTTTTTTTTAAATTTCAAGATAGTGACTTCAAGTTTCTATTTGAAAAATATACAAAAGTAGAAAAAGAGACCATAACTCATCCATTATGAAATTATATAAAATAAGAGTTGAAAGTACCTTCTCTATCACTATATTCACTACTCTTAGAGGTCGTTGGTTGGATGTATTTATTTCATGACTTTTTCTTACATTTATGCGGACATTTTTTTCGTGCTACCTATCCCCTGAGTAGGGTGATTTTTTTATTGTTGTTCAGTTACAGCTGTCCCCGTTTCCCATTACTCTTTCCCTGCCCTACCCACCCCCACCTCCCACATCCAATCCTCCCCCCTCGCCATTGTCTTTGTCCATGAATCCTTTGTACATGTTCCTTTGAAGACATTTTAAATAAACAAATGCACACACATACCTATCTACACACATTTATACCTACAAAAATGGGACTTTGTTATACATATTTTAAAAACTGCTCCTTTTATATAACAATATACGTGGAAATCTTTTAAAGATCAGTATGTGTAACTGTATTTTCTCCTTTTTAATAACTGTATTTAGATGCCATACTCTATGCCACATGTCTCATATTGATGGTTATTTTATTTTCATATTTCTGCTATTATAAACAATGCTAAAATATTATCATATATATGTATACACATACATAAATCTTTATGCTATTATTTCTATAGTATAGATTCCTAGCATGATTGCTGACTCACAGGATATCATTAGTTGCAAAACAGGATTAAAAGATCCAAAAACTTCTACTAAAAACTTTATTCTTGAATATAAAATATCAAGAAATGAATATTTTACTTCCTAGTAATAATTATTAAGTAAATACTGAAATGTAAAAAAATTCCATTCATGAGACCTATAAGAGGATTTACTGAAGGACGTAAAGTAAGACTTGAATAAAAGAAAAGCTATGCCATGGTCCTGGATGGGCAGACTTGAAAATACAATGCAACCCTTACCAGAACTTTAAATTAAAAAATATGAAACAAAAAATTAAAAAACTAATTTGAAAGAGTATATATCTAACATTGCAAATTTATTTATTTAAAGACAAGTCTTTGAAGAGCAGTTTTAGTTTTACAGTAAAACCGAGAGAAAGGTGCAGAGATTTCTCATATACTCCCTACCCTCACACATACATAGCCTCCTCCATTATCAACATAACTCACTAGGATGGTACATTTTTCACCAAGGGTGAATCTACTGCAGGTTTTGAGTTTCACTTTTAGTGTCGTATATTCAATGGGTCTGGACAAAAGCATGACATATGTCCATCATTATAGTATCGTACAGAGTCTTTTCACTGCCCTAAAAATCCTCTATGTTCTTCCTATTCATCTCTCTACTTCTCCCACTTCTCCAAAGGACTGGTATTTTTACTGTTTTAATAGTTTTGAGTTTTCTAGAATTTCATAGAATTGTTCTCATATAGTATGTAGCCTTTTCAGATTTGCTTCTTTCTCTTTATAATATGCATGTAAGTTCATCCAAATCTTTTCAGGGCTTGATAGCTCATTTCTTTTTATTGCTGAATATTGTCTTATTTCTGGATGTACCGCAGTTTGTTTATCCATTCACCTCTTAAGGATATCTTGGTTGTTTCCAAGTTTTGGTAATTATGAATAAAGCTTCTATACGCATTGTGTGCAGGCTTTTGTGTGGACGTAAGTTTTTAACTGTCTTGAGTAAGTACTAAGAAGTAAAATTTCCGGATCATATGGTAAAAAAGGACCCTAGGGATATATTTAGTTTTGTAAAAGAAGTTTACAGATAGGAAATTAAAAATTTAGCCCCAAACTATTTATATTTCTCAAATTTATGAAAGAATATAAAACCTTACTAATAATTAGAGAAATAGACATTAAAATTAGATAAAATTTTTTACTGATCAGGTTAGCCAAAAAATTGACCTCACTTAATATCACTCAAGATATGAGGGAGTATCCACTTAAGTCAGTGGATAGAAAGTGAGAGAAAGTGATATCACTCTTTGGATGCGTTTTTGGCAATAACTATTAAGGTAATAGACAGTTTAAAAGCACAAACTATATATATTATTTAGGGAGTTTTGGGGTTACTTAAAACATACATATATACTTCATGCTGTTAAATTAAAATATATAAGATTATTTATATCATTAGCTTGACACAGGTTTAAAATATTTATTTTTTCTAGGCTCTATTTTTGTCTTGGGGTGGGGTTGGGGGGCTATGCGTTGCGGGGAGCGCCGCGGTGGAGCACAGGGCTCTTCCATCTGAGGGTTACTGTCTGGAGCCAGCTGAGGAGGGAGTGGGGCTCTGAATCCTGCAGAGCCTGTCCCGGGGTTGTCATGGTTGGGGGAATAAACACGAGTCATCGCAAACACTTCTCTGTTTGCCAGGAGAGGGGACATGGTGACTTCCCTCTAGGGGAGAGAAGGCCCTGAACCCACATGTCTGAAGGCTTTTATTGAGAACCATTTGCACAAGAGTATACAGCAAAGCTCATCAATCAATGTCAAAAGGCTATGTTTGCAGAAAACAAACAGAGAACATATAATAATTGGAGGAACACAAGAGAGCTGCCTCTGGTCAGGGCCTATGAATAATGTAAATCTCCTTCCCTAGATGAGCTGGTTATCATCGCTTTAGAGGGAAGAACAAAGCATGCTTAGAGGAACTTACTTCTAGGCCTGATTGTCCCCAGGAACCGCTGGCTCCATTTTAGGGCTGTACCTGCCTTTAGTATTGTTTCAAGCCTGAGCCAGGCGGGTGGGGCAGAGCCACCAAGAGATAAGGAGACTTCTATCGTATAGAAAGAGGACTCTGGCCACGTCCAAACCCAGCCGAGGTGTGTGGGCTTTTTTGCCCTTTCTCCGTGTCCTCCAACTCCTTGTCCCGCTGCCTATACTGGCCAATGTCTGGCTTAGGCTGTCCCTCCTCTTGAGAGAACTTACCCGTCATCAACAATTGACCATCATAGGGCCAAGCAGAGGGATGGGTTTTGTCTCCTTAGTGGCTTGTTTTCCCAAGGCCTCCTTGATTATTTTCAGCCTTGGGGCCCTCTCACCTGGCGGTGAGGCTACACTCCCTGAAACCAGATGGGGCGTTTCCCAACATATTTTACTCTCCTTTAATTCAGTAGTTCCTGTCCTAGCTCCAAAATGCAGGATCTCTATTTTTGTTAGTTCATTGTCCAATGCTAGGGAAAGCTCCCTAGGTCCTCAAATAAAGCAGATTCTTTTCTGTTTAGAACCGAGATCCACATCATCTCCTTCAGTTCAAAACTGTACCCTTGGTCCTGGTTGGTGTGGCTCAGTTGGTTGGAACATTGTCCCATAACTAAAAGGTTGTGGGTTTGATTTCTGGTCATGGCACATACCAACATTTTGGGTTCGCTTCCTGGTCTAGGTGCATGCAGTCCCTGGTCTAGGTTTGCACGGGAGGCAGCCAGTTGATGTTTCTCTCTTACATCAATGTTTCTCTCTCTCTCTCTCTGCCTTCATCTCTCTCTAAAAGCAATAAAAAAATGTCCTCGGTGAGGATTAAAAACCAAAACAGAACAAAACAAAAAAAACTGTACCCTTAAAAGTCACCAGGAAAAACCTATCTAAAATGGAGTTCCTTAATCAACTCATTAAAATTCTTTTTCCTTTCCTCTTTTGAACTCAGTTTTTGATCTTTTAGCAATGCTCAAGTAATGCATCTTTGTTGTAAAAAAAAAAATTCAGAAAGTAAAAAAAAAGAAAACATTTATTTACATATCAACCAACCATCCAGTGATAACAGAGTATTTTGATATATAATTTTCAGACATTTTTGTTCATATATGTTTGTGTGATCATGTTTTACAAAAACAGTATTGTACAGGGTCTGGCAAAAGTAAGGCCTACTTGAGTGTGGTAGATAGGGTAATAATCTGGGTGTAATAATTTATAGTTTTAATTTTAACATTTCATCTATGAGGTCATATGGTATGCTTGAGTGTGATATTGTTATGTTACAGAATTCCATGATTCTGTAATAAAAGATTTTGTAACAAAAAGGGGGGAATTATTTGTGTCAGGCCCTGTATTATACATGCTCTTTTGTTTTGCAGTTTTTACTCAGCTGTTTGTGTTGAAGAGCTTTTATGTGTCAGTAAATATACACCTATGTAATTATTCTTGATTTAGTCTTTAATCTTGATCAATATATTGAGACTCAATCTCAGAGCTGAGAGGACCTTAGAGATAATATCATTTAACCCGCTCAAATTATAGGTTAGGAGGGAAGCCAAGAGGTATGGAATGGCTTCTTTCATGCCATGTGGTTACTGGAAGAGCCAGAACCAAAATTCACAACATCTAGTGCCTCTTCCAGCTCTCTTTCCACAGTTGTATTACAGACTCATTCTCAATGCTCCCAGCTCTGTTCTTCCTTTTTGATGAAGCTCTCATATGGTGTAATTCTATCCCACAGAGGCTGTCAGCCTCCATTTGAACTCACATTATTTAACTCCAGTGTCAGGGAGTTACTTCTTCCACTTCCGCTCATGGTCTAAAGTTTATTTTCTTGTGCACTGACAGTCAGCATTTCTATAACTTAAACTGCCCTTCCTTGAGCTCCTGCCAATCAGAAGATACTCTCAAACTGCTAGTGACTTAGGATGAGCCACGGAAGGCATCTTTACCATGAACAAATATGATTTTGACCAGAAGGAAATGAATGGAGACCATGTTCCTAGATCCCACATGTGCTGCTATGAAGATGGCAGGTGCTGGCACTTAAGGGACACTGTTAATTGAGCATAACTGGACTTCACAACTGTCAACCCTATACCTCTGTCTCTCAGGAGACTGTGGCTATCCTGAGTATCCAGATCATGGCTATTTTGAAGGAGACGATTTCAACTCAGAATCTACCATTACTTATTACTGTGAAGAGGGGTAAGTGTACGCAGCCTTTCAAATACAAGATCTTGCCCATTAACTAGTAGCATTGTTTTTGGGAATGTCTCAGTCTGTCTCAGACTAGTCTTCTGATTTCCTACTGCTCAAGATTCTGAGCTCATTCTAATTTGGAGAGCTGCCTCCCACTCCCATCTCCACCCAATTGCTAGAAGACAGACTAATACGCCTGTTTATCCAAATTAAAGTATAACTTTTTTTCTGCTTCTAATACCTCCAATGAACTTTGCAGTCAACTGTCATGTTCTTTTTGATTAAAAGCTGCATGTCCTCTTTAGGCAGTTTGCTAAGATTACTTGAAGGCTGTCTTTATTTAGCTTTCTATTTCTTTTTAGAGCATAGATGACAGATGGTTTTTGAAGTTACTAAATGAAGAACTTCTTCCCTCACCCTCCTCACCCAAAAACTGTATGTGTAAGCACACTATCCAGAATCTGTCACTTCTGCATGTTGTACAGGTTGCCTAATCACTTGGGTCTTCTCCACACCTCAGGGGAGTGGTTTTACTTCATTACTGCTTTGTAGTACTGAGATAACTTAAGCTTGCCTTATGGATCAGGGGTAGAGAGGTGGGCTCTATCACAATATGAAATATTGAGATATAAAAACACAAAACGAACCTTTTGCCTAGTTCAGAAGGTGGAAAGGCTAAGTGTTGTTGCCATTCTAATTCCTGTTCAGATATCGCTTGGTGGGCACACAAGAGTGGCAGTGCATTGATGGAGAGTGGAAGAGTAAATTTCTGGTCTGTGACTTGATCCAAAAAGCTTCCAAGCCAGCTTCACAGACTGCGTATGAAAAGGCACTGGTAAGTAGTAGGCTCTTGCCTGTCTGGTTCACAGCTGTATCTCCAGGGCCTGGCATTGCTTCTGGCACATACTTATTAAGTATCTGTTTAATTTAGGATATTTTTGAATGGGTTGGCCTTGGCCTGACTGTAGAATGGGGCTCATAAACTTATTTTTTTTATACTGTAGCTCCCATTTGCCACCATCATCACTAATACCTCATGAGTCTCTCTTGCTAGGAGTTGTTGTCTTACATGCTTTATAGAGCAAGGAACATAAATAAACTCATGTATTTGGCTTTCAAGTATTGCTGTGAAAAGTCTCTAAAGTTCTAGACTCTAAAACATGGTGAACAGGTCAATTTTCATTGAGACCTCTCTTAGTTTATATCTACTACTGGGATAATAAGAAGTATATTTAAGCATCATGTTTAAGACCCAGATCCCCACTTAAGCTAGCCTGGTTCTGAGCCACTATTCAGAGACCTGTGCACTACTTACTATCTTCAGGGTATCCAACTGGGTCTCAGGTTTTTAGTTGTAATTTACAAATTTTTTTTTCTTTCTTCAGCTTGCCTTTCAAGAGAGTAAAGACCTCTGCAAAGCCACAGAGAACTTTATGCAAAGATTAAAGGAAAATGGCTTAACAATGGTGGAAGTAAAATATCTTCTGGAAATAAAGAAAGCTGAGTTGAAGGCAGAATGTTTTCTTGACATTCCATCTGAGCATACTGGGTAATGGAAATACACATATGAATAAATTTTCCTCTTGGTTCTGAAATTGGTTTTAGAATTTTCTTTCACTGGACTGAAAAGCAACTTCATAGTAATCAAGTGCAGTAAGTAGTACAGTGCACTATGTGTGAGTGTGTGTGTATTGTATGGGAAGCTCAAATATGGAGGTTGCCTGTTTAAGACCACAATTAACAACACATTAATAGTGAGTGAAGGGTTTATTTTGTTTGTAAAGAAAGTGGGAGGCTCAGATCGTAGCTAAGAGTGTGCCTCATATTAATATGAGACAGGAATAATGAGGCAAAAATTAACCTCAAATTAACCAAAACTTCTGAGGTAAAAATTAACCTTTCGTTTAGCTGGTGTGGCTTAGTGGATTGAATGCCCATCTGTGAACCAAGGGTCGCGGTTGGATTTCCAGTCAGGGCACATGCCTGGGTTGTGGGCCGCACCCCAGTAGGGGGTGCACAAAAGGCAACCGTACCTTGATGTTTCCCCTTCTTTCTTCCTCCCTTCTCCTCTCTCTAAATATAAACAAAATCTTTAATTAAAAAAAACCTAACCTTTCATTTTAGGAAAGTGAACTTAGAACAGCTATATTTCTTTAAAATTAATTTATTTATTTTGCCACATACATTTGTCTCTGCCTTCCCCCCACCATTCTCCTCTGCCCCCTCCCCCATCTCCGTCCCTCAATCCTTCCCCACTTTGGTTTTGTCCATGAGTCCTTGCTATATGTTCCTTGACTAGCCCTTTCCCTTCCTTTCCCCCCACCCATCCCTCCCTCTTTCCCTCTTGTCTCTGTTGGTTTCTTTTTCTTTCAGTGCTGCTGGTCTTATTTTCCTTGCATCTTTGTATTGTTGGTTAGGTTCCGCTTACAGGTGAGATCATATGGTATTTGTCTTTCTCCACCTGGCTTATTTCGCTTAGCATAATACTCTTTAGTTCCATCCATGCTGTCACGAAGTTTAGTAGTTCTTTTTTTCTTTCTCCTGCGTAGTATTCCATCATGTAAATGTACCATAATTTTTTGATCCAATCATCTACCGATGGGCATTTAGGTTGCTTCCAACACTTGGCTATTGTAAATTGTGCTGCTATGAACATCGGGGTGCATAAGTTCTTTTGAATTGGCATTTTGGGATTCTTAGGGTATAGTCCCAGCAGGGGAATCACTGGATCCAAAGTCAGTTCCATTTTCAGCTTTTTGAGGAAATTCCACACTGCTTTCCACAATGGCTGCACCAGTCTGCATTCCCACCAACAGTGGACTAGTGTTCCCTTTTCTCCACAGCCTCTCCAGCACCTCAGAACAGTTAGTTATATCTATCTTAAATGACCCATTGGAAAAAAAGTTGAATTAGGACCCAAACTCTCCCCTGGGTCTTCCCTACGTTCTGTTTATGAAACAAGGTTTCCAAACCTTCTGCAGTAATGTTCCCTGTCTGAGAGGACTCCTATGTTGCATGGTAAATTTGAGATGGTGTATCACAAATAAATACAGGGCCCAGCACAAATAATTCCCCTTTTTTATTACAAAATCATAAGCATGGAATTCTGTGACATAGCAATATCACAGTCAGGCACCCATATATCCTTTTAGGCGAAATGTTAAAATTAAAACTATAAATTGCTACACCCAGATTATTACCCTATCAACCTTAAGCAGGTCTTACTTCTGCCAGATGTTGTATATTCTTTTCTTTTTTTGAAAGCAGAACACACGAGAATCCCAACGTTTTCCTGTCAAGATGTCATACTGAGCTGATATCACAAGCTTCTTCCATCTCACACTCTGCCCTTTACTTAAAACACGTGGGAAATCTGGGTAAAGTACAAACAAAATACGTAAGAGAGCTTGAAATAATAGAAAATCTCTAGGTGAAGTTACAAAGGAGAATAAAGATGGACTTTCAAGTAGCCCACAGTCTATAAATAGACACAAGACATGGATACACATGTCATTAAATCATGATGGTAAGAATGAAATAAACGCTCTCAGAGAACAATGTGCTATGGGAGCTCAGGTGCGAGAAGGATGACTTCCATCAGGGGAGCGGAGGAGGCAGGAAAATTATCAAGAAAGAGGTCATAGTTATCTGAGTCTTTAAAAATGAGTAAAAGTTAGAGACAAAGATTAGGGAGGAGACATTCCAAGTAGAAAAAAATTTGAGAAATGTAATAAGGGAGTCATGAGATTTTTAACCAATCCTAGGATTTATCTATCTTGAGCAAAATTATTTAAAATTTGAAGCTATTCATTATATTATTGTCTATATTGTCTGCACTAGCAAGACCTTGTGAGCATTTTAAATGTCCAATCTTGGTAAAGTTTTAAGTACATTATTGTACATCAAATGTAATGCGGCCTTTTATAGTGATAATTCTGGACAGGAAATCTTAAAAATATAATCTGAAACAAGAATACAGAATAACAAGAATTTATGATCACATTTATTAAAACTTACACTTATAGAAAGAACCAGGCAATAATAGGCACAGATGAAATTACAGGTGTTTATTCTTTTAAACTTCTTTCATGTTTTAAATTGAGTTAATTAATCATAATTTTTAAGAGATGCTATGAAGAAGCAGGAAAGGTGGGGCCTGTTTAGAGAATAGCACATTATCTGAGTTGGCCTGGATAAAGCATGGGAAGTGATGAGAGAAAAGGCTAGAAAGGTCCATTGGAGTGAACTTACAGAGAGTTTAAAAGAATGTTAGAGAATTAAACTTTATTTGGTAGGCAGCAAGTAGAGATGAAAGACTTTCAGGTAAGGACGTGATAAGGACAGAGCACACTATTTCTCTCATTACAGTAGATAGTAATAGAAATAGAAAAGAAACAGCAGACAGGAGAAACACTGCAAATTCCAATAAAAACAACATGTCAACTGATTGAACGCTAGAAGAGGAGGGAGAGGAAGGATTTGAAGGTAAGTCTGAAATTTCATTCTTTGGAGCCTGGATTAGTGTTGGGGTCAGAAGGTGAGGCTTCTGTGTAGAAAACGAGTGGTTCCCCTTTGGATGTGCTGAATATAAGGTTCTTGCAAGATGTCCAGTGGTCAAGAAAAATGTGCACCTGCACTTAGGAGAGTAATTAGAGATAAAGATGTAGTTATGGGGTAGAAGTATGGGATAGAAAAATCTCCTTTTTTAAAAAGAACTTGGGATTTATCTATATTTGGAGATGAGAAGGAAGAAATGAGGTCACAACAATTAAGAGAGGGCAGTTAGTAAGACTGGGGACTCAGGGAAGGTGAGGGTGATGGAAGCCAAGGAAACGAGTTTCAGAAAGGAGACAACAGGCAGTGTTCTGGGCTTTTGAGAATTCCTAAGAGATGAATTCAAGGAATTTTGGGTTTGGAAACAAGAGCAGGCCTCAAAGAGGTCTGTCAGGAACGGTAGGAGGAAGCCAGATGGGATGGCCACGAAAGCAGGCAGGGGTGTGGAGTGGTTAGTGAGAAAGTAGGGAAGAAACGTAAGAGCCTTTTTTTGAGAAGTTGAGCATCTCACAAAAGAAGAAAACTGGTGTTTGAGGTCTCAGCAAGATTAAGGGAACATTTCAGAATGAAACATACATTGAAAATAAAGAAAAGAACAAACAAATCTCTTCTGAAACAGGTGTGAATAGGAGAGAAAACTTGAGGTGGAGAGAAGCTACTTTGGAATGATTTCTTTGGTAAAGTAGGAGGCAAGATCATCTGCTGAGAGTAAGACAGTTTAGTGACATGGAGAGAAAAATTCGAACCAATCACCGTGGAAAGGAAATAACTCCAATAGATTGGAAAATGGTATTTTGAAGACCTAACTTTAAGGTGGTATTTCCTCTAACTTAGCTCTCAAAACTGTTCAGTCTTCATTCCCCATTTATGCTCATTCTTTTCAAATCAGTAAATCAATCTCACCTTTGTGACTTGGCCCATGTTCTTTCTACCTCTAATATTGTTCTCATTTTCATCCAATAATTTCCACTTTTCATTCAAAGCTCAGCCCAAATGTCTTATCTTTTGTCACAGTTCCTGTTATGGCCCTGGCTGGTGTGGCTCAGTGGATTGAGTACCGGTCTGTAAACCAGAAAGTTGCTGGTTTGATTCCTGGCCAGGACGCATGCCTTGGCTGCAGGTCAGGTCCCTGGTTGGGGCCGTGCAAGAGGCAACACATTGATGTTTCCCTCCCTCTCTGTCTCCCTCCTTTTACCTAACAAAAGGACCCGTTGGTGTGGGGGGCCAGATACTATTACCAAAATGACAACTTCCTTCCCTGGGACCCCTCGGTGGTGGGTCCTTTGCTCGCCGCCCTTGGAATTATGGCTCTGAATGGCAGAGTTTGCTGAGAAGGAAAAGGAACTATTTATTCAAAAGTTATACAGGTTTGATTAATGGCTAAATGTCACCCTTAAACCTCAAAATCCCTTCAAAACAACCACCAACACACACACTGCCCTGCCTTCCCCCCTTTGCCTAGTTAGGCCAGTCAGGCCAGTCAGGGGTACCGTCCTTCAGAAGAAAAAGAACAGAAGTCCAGAGCTCGGCTGGGCAGGCCTCTCGCGGGTCTCAGCACCATCTACCGCGTCGCCGCGATCTCCAGCTCTTAATCCATAACCATGTGGCACCTTCTCATGGCCCACTAGCAAGAGTCCTTTCTCTCCTCTTTCTTCCCGCCTGGTCTTCACACTGTTCCCCAGAGCCTGTGTCCCTTTGTCTCTCCTGCAGGCCCCCCCACCCTCTCTCTCTCACATTCTGCATCAAGTCTTTTAAACCTTCCTGATTAGCTTTGGTGATATGCAAAATAATCCTCTTTGCAAATGGGGAATGAAGCCATCCTGTTATTGACATGCAAAATGACTTCTCAATGGGTGCTCAAGGCTCCCATCCCCCATGGCGGCCTGCCCTGGGGTGGGGAGAATATATTTTTCTTGGACACCCCAATCTCTGGACCCCGTTACAAAATACCCTTTGCGAGGGGGGACCCTAGCTGTGCCCCATTACACTCCTTTCTTCTCTGAAAATCAATAAATAAAATCTTTTAAAAAAACCCCACCATCTGCTGTGGTTCAACTCTTTTTCTGAAGGCTTTATGAGAATTTTGGTGTTTATTACAGAAAAAGCAAAGCTGTCAGGATCATGTCAGGGTTGGGGATCCTTCCTTGATCTGTGTGATAACAACCACATGGCTGGCTGTTCCTTGTATTTTTTTGAGAAACACTCAGTGATAGACTAACTTCTGGAGGTCATTTAGTGCCCAACATTTAGTAGTAGTAGTGGTGGTAGTAGTTAACATTTACTGAGTACTGGTATTGTTGCAGGCAACTTGGCACATATCAAGAACTTAGTAAATGTGTTAAACCCCCCACCTTTTGTACTTCCTTAGGGTGGGATGGAGACTAGCACAAGGTAAAGTCATCCATAGGTCACTGAGCCCCAGGAAAACCTGCTGGACTTAGCATCATGCAAAGAAGATCATGTTTGTGAACCTAGTCTAAACCCTGCTGTAGCCAAGGTTTCCAGGCTAGCTTGATTACATCTTTTATAACCCCTTTGTTTATGAAAAGAAAAAAAAAATCTGGCACCAAATTCATAGTACATTTTCATTTAAGGGAAATGGTTGGCAAGGAGAAAATAAGTGATTGCAACATTTTATCAAGAATGGGGGCCAATGAAGAGGAAAGAGATTAGGTAAACACTGGTGCTTTATTTCTGTTGTTAATCATTCACTGGGCGGGTAGAATCTGCTCAACCATTTTTGTTAAGCCCTTTCTGATCAGCCAACCACATGGCTGGAATTTTGGGATTTTTTTGGTGGAGCAATTTCTAACGAACTTCAGGGTTTTCCGGTAAACTTTTATCTAGGGAGGAACTAGGACTATTAGAGATCAAGGCTGTTTTCTTCCTTGAGAAACTGCCCAAGGCACCGGGATAGAGTCCTACTTCTTCCTCAGCTACCTGCAGGTCAGTGGATTCCTTAGGGTATCTTGGGGCAAGGCTGGGGGTTTGGCCCTTTGAGGAGTGAAAGATGAGAAGGATAAGACAGAGATAAATACTTGGGGGTGTTTTCAGCAGAAATCTTTGGAGGAGTACTGCGTTAGGGAATAGCATGACTTGAAGAGTACTTTGAATGCCACTGAGCCTCAATTTTTAATTATAAGTGGTGGAATAATAACATATACTCATGAAATAAACTGAAATAGAAAAGAAGACATTGCTCTTGTTATTGTATCTAAAAGTTGAGTGTGTTGGTTTGTTGCTTTTTTTTGCCATCTATCCATGTAGAAGTAAGCCAGGCTTCCCAAAGCGGGTTAAAGGAGTCCTGGTTTTCATAGTCTGCATTCTGAAAATTGATGCAATTTCCTTTGGAGATTTTATTAACTCCTCTATACCTCCTTTTCCAATGCACAGTAAAAACCTTTCAATTTGATAATAAGGAGGATATTGTTCAATTTCCAGTTCGTTCCTGAAACTAGAGGCCTTAGTTATTCTCACCTCCTTTTTTCCCCTTCACTTTTTGAATATGGCAACGTTGATTACCATTTCTTCTTGAAATTCTCTTCTTGGTCAGGCAGGACATAGTACTATTCTGGTCCTCATTTCAATTCTTAAGTCACTTTCTTTTGACTCCTGTTTTGTCTCTAAATATAGTAGTACAAGGAGAATAAAAAGGAGAATATCCAGAATAAAAAGAAACATCAAGAAGGTTTGTATAAAGTAGAGATACCTTTGAATATAATATAAACACAGAAAGGTGGAGCTGGTAGATAAAGGAATCCTAGGATAGGAGGGAAAGTATGGAAGCACATTCTTTCTGGAGTCTGAAAGTGAGGTGACCACGAATGCAGGTGAAAGCAAGGAAACACTCCACTTGAGACTCGAGAAAATATTCTGAATTTTAACAGGAGGAAAGTAGGTAAAATAAATATACTAACTTAAAAACGTAATCTCTAATGGAAGAAGAAATTTGGGGGCTGAGGATTTTCCCAGTGCCTCTCAAATTTTACTGCATCGGTCAGTGCTGACTGACTTTGGCTCCTGAGTTGGTTTTATTTCTGTAAGAATTTAAGAGGTGATGATGGTCACTGAAATCTGGGAGCATATGCTAGGGAAGTCACAGCTTTTCAGGGGGCAGTTTCACAATTCTAGACTTTGTAGGGAAATAAAAGAAGATCTAAGTTTAATGTCATTATTTTTAGTGATGAGGAACTGAGATCCGAGCTGCTAACGTAGCTTCTACAAGATCACAGAATTAGGTGATGGTATTGCTGGGACACTAGCCCAGGTCTTCCCAGCTCCCAAGTCCGAGCCCCCATCTCCGCGCCCTGTGGCCTGCTGAGCTCTGCGCAGGTTCTGCGGAGGAACCCCAAGGAGGGAACTGCAAGGATGGTGAACTGCGAATGTTGTGCCTGACCAACTGAGCTGCCACACATCCTGAGGACTTGTAAGGGAAGTCAGATCACTGTATCATCTCTTCAAAATTCACAAAGCACTTCACACACATTATTTCATTTGGTGCACAGTAAGGCAATTAGTTGTTCTTAAGAAGAAAAGACTAAATTGAGTTTCATTTATATCACATTTCTTGGGTAACTATTTTATATCACATACAATAAAAGCAGGTTGGGGCTGGAAAGTCAAATAAGTAACTTTTTTGTTTTCAAGAATTTACAATCTACTTCAGGAGGCAAAAGTGAATATAATACAATGTGATGCTACAATTAAGGTATCAGAAATATACTAGGGGAACATAAAAGAAGCTGATACTTCTTGGTGGTGTTGGGAAATTCTTCATCACAGAGGTGACATATGATCTTGAGGTTGGAGGTAAGAGCATCCATGCACAAGAGACATTCTATGCAAATGGCTGAAATTGTTTAAAATAATTCCAGGGTGTGTTTTGGAAGAGGTAAGCACCTTCATGAAGTTGAAGCACAGTGGTTTAAGTGAGCAGAAGCAGAAGGAGACGTATGGGGACTTAAGGAACTGGGAACCATGAGATTTTCTAAGTAAGCAGACTTTTAGGATTATAGCCACCCAAATGTTTGGAGGTTTTTACAGTGGTCTAAGGGGCAGTGAAGGAAATGATGAAAACCTAAGCCTGGAATATAGAAGTAGGGTGCAGAAGAGAGCAGCAGATTCTGCTGGTGCTGTGGCCAAGATAATCGGACTAGACCACTCTGAATATGACAAGGGCCAAGAGAGAGGAGGCTAGGGTGACTCAGGATTCTGGCCTGAGAGGCTGTGTGGAGATTATTACTTCAGCTGAAGCAGAAAGTAGCATTCAAAGGAAGATAGTGCATTTAGTTTGGGATCTGTTGGATTCAAGGTGCTTGAGCAATAGAAATAAAACAGTTATAAACACTGATCTGAACCTTGAAAAGTATTACTTCAGTTTTAAAAAGGTTTTTTTGCTTGCTTCAACAAGAAATCTAAGAAGTGGTTGCCAGGGCTGGGCGTGGGAATGAGGATGGGAGAAATAGAGAGAGACTGGTAAAATTGTACAAACTTTGAGCTATAAGAGGAAGGTTTGAAGATCTAATGTAAAACATGGTGACTACAGTTGATAATACTGTATTGTATAATTAAACTTCGCTAGAGAGTAGAACTTAAATGTTCTGGCCCAAAAAGTAAAAGATAAATATGTGAGATGATGGATATGTTAGTTAACTAGATAGTGGGGGATCCTTTCACAAGTGTGTCTGCATGTGTACTTTAAATACCCTTCAGTTAGTCACTTATACCTCAACAAAGTTGAAATTAAAAAAATTCAAGACTCAAAAATTGTAGCTTACTTTTAGGATTGCAAGAGAAGAGGAAAGCGAAGCCATTTATTTCTGGATTTGCAAAAAAACAAAAACCCTGAGAAGTATTTATACCTTTCAAAAACACATGTTAATTTAAATATTATGTCAGACAAAAAACAATTTCCTGAAATAACCAGTCAGAATTATCTAGGGTTAAAGGTTGCTTTCAATTGCCAGAGCTACAATCTCTAAAGTCCAAGAACGACTCCTTTGTTAGAAAGAAAGTTGGCAAGATCAGTTTTATGATGCAAATACCTGCTTTTCTGCAGCTGCAGGAAAGAGAAAATATCTCCTCCTTATTTTGCTGGAATTTCTTTCACCGACTTTTTTCAGGCTAGGCACGGCACTGAAGTTCCACTCTTTAGCAACAAGAATAAAGGATGAGCAGGCTGGAATGGCTGCACATTTACATGGGTGGTAATAGGGCTGAATAAGATTTTTATTAACAATTGTGTTTATAGAGCATGTAAGGTTTTGTATCTACAGAAGACAGTTGGGCCCAGAGATCTGTGAATGATTCACGGATGATGATCAAAGTGATGGGAGTAGATGCGTCCCTCCCAGGAAGACAGTTAAGGGTGAGGAAGGGAGCAGCCTAGGCCACTGAGTGTGGCACTAGGTCCCGCTATTACCAAGGGCCACAGTGAAAACCCAGCCAAGGGCTTCTGGCCCAAGTCCAGTGGACTTTCCTCTGCTCTGGGGCTTTAAAGTCCCAGATGATACAACCATCTGTTATAATTTCACATCATTATTATAATGATGTTTTGATCTCTACGCGTTCTGATCATGTCAGAGTCACATTGCAACACCAGTTCTCTCACTGTCTTTCCTAATATCGCTTTTGAATACTTATTACGTGCTGTTCATGCACCAAGCCCAACCTCTTCTCATCAACTCTGGGAGACATGGTTAGTTATTCTTATTTTATAAAATATGAAATTGAAGCTTAGAGGAGTTTAGAGCACTAAGTATCTTGCACAGGGACACACACTTCTCATGTGGTGGAACCAGGATTCAACCCACATGACCTGGGTCTGACTCCAGAATCTGTGTCCCAGGGCCTGGCCACATACTGTTCTTCTGTGTCTGTGGCCCTGGCATGAGGCTGAGTGATAGAAATCCCTCCTCACAGCATAGAGTTTGGATGTGAGGCTTCCTTTTACCTCCTGTCATAAACTGAGGAGGGGGGAGCACTAGTTTTTGTTTATTCCTTCCCACTTTACTGTCCTCTGTTGACTGGTTGATTATACGATGACTTCAGATTCCAGGTGGGGAAGAGCCTCAGGTGAAATCACTAGGGTCCATGCCCATTAAAACACAAGTGTACCTTGCTTTAAAACCAGTTAAAATCTGACCTTGACAAAACAAACACTGTAAGACTAGATACGGACATGAACAGTATTATTTTTCTTTAAAACATATTTTGTTCCTAGGTACATTTGAATGTAAATTCAACATTGATTGAGTATTTTAACTGTGTGAGGCACAGTACTAGGTACCATGTAGGGTGGAGATGAATAAGAACCCACCCTTTGACTTCAGGGAACTTATGGTGTAGTGGTGGACCAGCATCAGATCTTAGTTATAAGCCAAGTCAGAATCAGAGTTATAAACACTAAATTGCAATTGGAATATGGAAACTGGCCTGGAGGGTAGGAGGGGGCCTTGGAGAGATGGCTGGCAGAATGAGTAGGAATTAGAGAGGAAATGGGAAGACAGAAAAGGATGGGGCAAGGTAGGGGGGAAGAAATGGGAAGTATTGAGGATCCAGGTCATCCAGGTCAGTTGGAACATGGAGCTTGGGACAAACTAGTGAAAAGTTAGTTGCCAGAAGCCAGTAAGTGAATGCCAATTCTTAAAGATCAGTTCACTGAAGTCAGTAAGTCATATTTATCAAATTATCAATTTACTTATCATGGTTTTAAAATGCACTCCTTTTGAATATATTTAATAATTATTAACATATTCTTTTTTGGACATAGCTAATGAATATGTTCTTTATAGCAGTATTTTAAGTATTTTTATTCAATTTCCAGAAAGTAAGGATTTAATTTTCTGGTATGTTTTTATAAATACACTTCCTGAGTATATTTAATGCATATATGCAGTAATAGCAACTACAACGATTCACATGGAAATTTTTTACTTTATACTATTATCCTAATTTTTTATAGTAGAATTCTATTTTGCCAACATACTGATATTTTTAAATCTTTTCAATTTCACTGATGTCCATAAACATGCCAATTTACTGACTTATCAAAACTTAAAGAAAGTTATTTCTATATATTTTCTGAGTGTCTGGGGTGTCATGGGAGCTTGAAATGATCAAGAGGCAGACAGGAGGCTCTGTGAAAGCTGTGAACTGCGGAGTAACGTGTTTGGAGCTATGCTGCCAGTGTGAAACATTTACTGAATATGCACTGTGGATGTGAAAGGCATGATCCTGGCCATTTGAGACTCAAAGACCGCTAAGACATGATCACTACCTCCCTTATTCAGAGTCCAGCAGTGAGACCAAGCATTGAGGAAAGAATTGAGATGAATTTTTATTGCCTGGGAGGAATATATCATATTTTATAAATTTTATAGATGATTTAATGGACTGTTTTTTTTTTTTATCATATGGAACTTGCCTCAACCCCAACTGTCCACAGTCTCATTGGATTGCTAGGGGGTAGAAGAAGTAGAGACTTGATATTGGAAGGCATGTACTAGGAAAATAGAGCAGGGGAAACATACAGAAAGGAAGTATGTGAAGGCCCAAAATGAGGGTTCTGGCTCCTTCCCAACCTTTCAAGAACACCTCAACCTATTCAATACAAATTCTGTAAAGATACTTTTAGTAAAAAAAATCATTTGATAAATTGTTCATTAGGTTGAATTTATTTTTTGGGCAGAATTGTCCTACCAGCCATATGCAGATTTCATGGGATAGGATGTGCATGGATAGGGTGAATTTGCCCACAGCTGACAACTGATGGAAGAATGGCTTCATCAGAAATGAATTTTGGAAAGATAAGATTCTCTGGGTCATTATTCAATGAAGCTAGGCCCCTCTACATAGTGTGCAGGGCCACTGTAAACTTTTCTCCCCTATAGTGTGGGACAGAAACATCTTTGAGGGAAATATTGAGGTGACACTCTTTATCTAAATGGAGATGTGCTTAATATAAATTATGGACACATGAGAGTGTAGACTCATCTGGATCTAATAGAAGCATCAGAATAAGAGATAAAATTGAACATTTCATTTGGAGTGAACTTCAAATATTCTTTAAAGACAACAGAGACTATTTCTAATGCAAATTTGATATATTGTTTTTTCCCTTAAGGGAAAGAAAGTGGTGATGAAGACAAAAATATCCTTCATGATTTTGCTTTAGACTAGTATTTAAATAATCTCATTAAATAAAGAACGTTGTATATCTCTATATATCTGCATGTGTAGATCTATATCTCTCTAGATATAGAATCATTTATTTTCAAAGCTGAAAATTGCTTAATGGTTTATTGTCTTAGTTGACAGTTGTCATGAGACACTCCCAAAACTATATGTAGTGATCCACCTCCTTTTCTCTATCTCATTGTTTTCCTGCTTTTTTGTCTTGTTTTACATTTGTCCCCTCTTCTCTAAATTCTCTGCCACTTTCTTGGTCAAATCATCTCTGTGGCTCACCTGGCCAACTGCAATAGTCTTCTTAATCAATCTCCCTGCTCCTTCTCTTTGTTCAATTTCTCATGTACACATATGACAATGATCTTCTTAAAGCAAAATGATGTGTCACTCCTTAGCTTTAAAGCAAACAAACCACACACACACACACAAAAATCCCAAACAAAAAAAACAATGGCTCTTTATTCCCCAAAGAGTAGTGTCCATAAATTCTTAAATTTGATTCAGACACACCTGTAAGCTGGCCTCTCCTTAACAATCATCTTTCCATCTCAGACACTATTTTCTAGTCACATTGGAATATTATCTACTTTTCCCCCAATTTACCCTGCATACATTCTCTAACGTTTAAAGCATACCAGACTCAGATACAGCCACCTCCTATCTCTCTATTTGGAATTAATCTGCCTTTTTAGTAGAGCTCCATCCCCTCTCCTCCCGAATCCAGAAGCTAATACTTTTTGTCTTGTGTTGTAACATTTGTGCATGTATTTTCTTCCAGTATAGGCTGTAATTTTCTTCAAGACATGGATCCCATAGCATTTATCTTAGTGCTTTATGAAAACTAGGAATTCAATGATTTTATTAAATTGAGTTCTTTCAGCAGAAAAATGTTGGAGAAGCCTCAGGTCATGTACCCTCCAAGAACTCCAAATAGGACCCTTGATAGAAAGCGGAAAATTACGGGCTGGCCCTTCTCTAGGCTGTGGAGAGTCTTTGATCCAACTCTGTTTCAAATGACTTTGGTGGCTGCTCTGCTGGTGACTGTTCTTGGTGAGTAATAGACAAGTTTAGATTGGCAATAAACATTCAAGTTCATCCACTTGTCTACTTTTAAGACTGACAAAGAGATGTTTTAGCTTTTTGCAGAAATCCATCTTCAGCAACCAAGGGTTTATTTGACCAGGATTTTGGATTTGTTTGACATTTGGAATTTAAGGGGATTTGGAGTTACTTGGAATTTATGGGAATTTGCTTTTGCTATGAAAGAGGCAATTTTCTTTCTAGACACTTCTTGCTAGATTTCTTCTCCTGTAATTTCCTAATCTGTCTTCCACCCATGACTTGAAACAAATTTATATTAGCTACCAGCCTGACTGAACAATTTTCACTGCCAGTGGGTTTATCCAGAATGGAAAGGGAAAAGAGGATTAAGATTTTTACAGTTCAAGGGCTTCGTGTTTCTCCCTTTATATCATTCAAAATCTAAAAGGTGCAAAAAAGTACAAATTAGAAATGTTATGTTTCTGTTGAGGAAAGTTGTAGGGACTTTTGACTTTGCACAAATGCATCTGAGTAAACAGATATGGGAAATTTGATAGCTGATGAAATTATGTCAGCCATCCTTTTAAAATAAATGATCTCATATATAATAGAAAAAGGATGAAAAATTTCTGCCTTTTTTCATCCTTTTATCATTTATCAGCAAACATGTATTACTAATCAGTCATTGAATTCACTGAACAATAGAGATATAGTAATAGGAGTTATTATTTTTCTTGATTAGGGGAGAAAAAATGGTTCCTGCTCTAAACATCATACTACTGAAAACACTAAATGCTGTGTCCCAAGCAATAACTTTTAGTGCTCTTTTTCATTTTGGTGTCCAGGTGACTGTGGTCCTCCACCCCATTTATCCTCTGCTATTTCCATAAAGGAGTTGAATGAGACAAACTACGAAAGTGGAACCATTCTGAAATATCACTGCCGCCCCGGCTACACTAGATCCGGTTCAGGATTCTACTCTCTTATCTGTAAGGGAGACACATGGGAGACATATGGGTCAATCACCTGTATCAGTAAGTATGAACATTTTTTTTTTCTGTTTGTACTTTTTCTTTTTTTGCTAAGCTGTATCAGGAACAAAGCTTTCTGAAAGCCAATGAAAACTTTTGGTCACTAAGAAATCACCCAGTTTGTCAGTGACTGATTTCAGTACAACTATGTGTCACTTTTTGAAAAACATGAACAAGCCTACAAACAAATAAATAAGCAGAACAGAAAAATTAGGAGCTACTTAGTGGCATTGAAAAATAAGTCTGTTCTTTACAATGTAATTCAGTAAACACTTCTTTCGAAAGTTAACTACATATTCAATTTTAATATATTGAAAACCAGATTCACTCTTTATAAAATTATAAAAAGTTAAATGGCTAGAAATTGGTAATGCAGTTTCCAAAGAAACTTCACCCAAAATACCTGCTGTGCTTGAAAGAAGATGCTGTGACTCTCTCAGGTGAGAATACTTTCTGTGACGTTTTCCAATAGTAAGGGTGTACAGTCTCCACTTTGTTTGTTATTCCTTTCGAGGCCAAGGACATACGTTTGGGAGTGGTCTAAGTGCAAAGTCCATGCCGCCGACCCAGAGTGCAGCAGAGCTCCCTGCCCCGTGGCGAGTCCTTGGCTGTGGCCTGCACCACCATCATGATTTAATTGGCCATTTTAATCTATTGGTAAAATATAACAGAAAAAAATTAAAAAATTTAAAACTTTTTCCCCCGAAGTAAAAATTCAATGAGTCTGGATCAGAAATAAGTTTCCAACCTTTCTTTCTGGTCTTCCTGGAAGCACAGATTTAAGCTAACCAGTCTCCTTTTCTAACGTCGTATCTGTGAGTATTTGAAATCACTAATCCTCATTTTAACTTTTCTCACAGGAAGACTGTGCAGCAACCCAGGAGAATTACGTAATGGGCAAGTGATCATTAAGACAGATTACTCTTTTGGATCACATATAGAATTCAACTGTTTAGAAGGGTGAGGCCATCTAGAAACAACACTTTAAAAAATTATTAGCTCATGTGTTTATATATTTCAGAAGTAAAAATGATGAAAAAGATATACAGGGAATCTTTGCTTTCACTCTATTGCCATCTACCCCTTGTCCTTAAACAGGAATCTACTTTTATTAGTTTTTTAATGCATCTTTCTAGTGTTTACTTTTACAAATACGAGCTATGAAATTAGTAAATGTTGGGAACCGTCCCGCCTGGTTTCAGGGACTGTAGTCTCACCGACAGGTGAGAAGGCTCCAAGGCTGGAGCTGAGCATGGAGGCCTTAGGAAAACAGGCCACTGAGGAGACAAAACCTGTCTCTCTGGCAGGGGTTGTGCCCCTGCCTCCCTCACATCACCCTGTTTGGCCCCAGAGGGTGGCTGGTTAGTCAATGATGGGTAAGACCCTTCAATGGCAGGGGCAACCTTAGATAGGCCCAGTTGCACTGGGGCCATCAGGGAAGGACTTGGGGAACATGGAGACATGGCAAAAGACCCTCACCCCTCGACTTTGTCTTGGCCAGAGTCCTCGTACTATCTGAAAGAAGTCTCCTTATCTCTTGGCTGCTCTCCTCCACCCACCTGACTCTGGCTTGAAGGCTTGAAACAGTCCTAGAGGCAGGTACAGCCTTGATCTGGATCAGGCAGTTCCTGGGGGCAATTAGGTCTGGAGAAAGAATGCATTAACTCCTGGAAACCTACTTTGCTAAGAATGCCCTTGAGTTAAGGAGTACTGGTGTTTGGGGTCTGAGCATAGGATGAGTTTCTTTCCCATGTTTTAGGGCTGAATAGGTATCACCCTGTCTACCAGACCCCGAACTAAGGCAAATTTCTGTTCCTTCAACTGTTGTCTAGGACCGCTATCTGTTTTCTGTAAACATAGCCTTTAGGCATTGATTGATAAGCTTTGCATGCATGTTGTATACTTCTGTGCATATTGTTCTCAATAAAAGCCACTTTGAGAGAAGGGCTTGGGGCCTTCTCCACTGGAGGGAATCACCACCCCCTTTTCCTGGCAGACCAAGAGTGTCTGGTACAGTTTATTTCTTCATCTGGGGCAGCTGGGGAGACTGTGGAATGGGGTACCTCCCTCAAGTAAATATTTTTATTTTGTACCTTTTCAATCGCAAATGTAGTTTTTAAACCTTGCTTTATTTTTTCTTATGAATAGATATAGGAGATATTTCCATGTTTGTGTATAAAGAGGTTTCTCATTGGTTCTCTTTTACAGTTACATTAAATTTTATTATGGGATATATCATGAATTAATAATCTCAGGATATTTTAATAATCATGGATATTTTCAGTCCTTCGCTATGCTGAACACTGCTCTGATGCATTATCTTGTAAAAACATCACTTTGTACATATGTAGTTCAATCTGTAGGGTAAATTCCCAGAGTGGGATTTGTGGATCAAAGAACATATATATTTGAAAATTTGAAAGGTATTGCAAATTGTTCTCTCTTGGAGTCACATGGTTTTGCAGAGTATGCAAATGCCTATCTCTGTATAAACTTTCCAACTAAGTGTGTTGTCAAACTTTGGAAAACTTGTCAATTTAAAAAAATTTTTCCAATTTAAGAAGTAAAAATAAAATCTCACTATAGTTTCAATATATATATATATATCTCTTACTGTAAGCGATGTTGAACATTTATATGTTTAAGAGATGTTTGTATTTTTTAGTAAACTCTTGGGTATGTTCTTTGCCTACATTTTTCTCTTGACTTAACTTTTTATTCTTAATTACTAGGGCATATATATACAGGGTAGGGAAAAAGTAGGTTTATAGTTATGAGTATGTGAAACACATACTTTATTCTTATATTATTATTTATTAATTATTGTATTATTTTCCATACAAACTTTTGCCCCATAAGCATAAGTGTGTGTGTATACACACACACACACACGCGCACACACACATACACATATACCACATGAACCTATGTATATTAGGGTTTAGACCTTGTTTTTGATATGAACTGCAACTTTTCTTCAAAGTATATTATGTTTCATTTGACTTGGTTACTGGTGTATTTTTTCTTTTCATGGAGAAATTACTTTTATGTTGTCAAATTTATCAATTTCCCTTTTAAAAATGGCTTATGTACTTTAGATCTTAATTTAAAAAGTCTTCCTCAATACAAGAGTTCAATCTATTTGCCAAGATTCATTCTGCTACTTCTATGTTTTTATTTTTTTAATGTTTAAAGCTGTTATCTATTTAGAGTCAATATGTTATATATAGTGTATGAGGTACATATCCTAGTATATATTTTTCCAATGGCTTTCTTGTTATCCCACCATATTATTTAAAAAGTTTATCTTCAATCTAATAATTTGAGAGTGTTTTTGATATTATATTAAATTCCTATAGGTACCTGGGTCTATTTATGGACTTTTTATTGAATGCCATTCTTTTGTCCTATTCATATACCTATTTCACAGTTATCTACTTATTGAGACTTTATATGTTTTAATAGCCAATATGAGTAGTCCTACTTATTACTCTTTTTTACAGAATATTTCTAACAATAAACTTGTTTTTTTCTGACTAAAATGAATTAATCATGCATTCATGCATTCATGATTAATTCGTTTTCTATATGTGTTTTATAGCCTAACAAAAGTTTTCTTAATGTCAAAAAATCTTGTTCCTTGTTATGAGCAACAGTAAGCTGATCTTGTATTCCCTCCTCACTTCTTCATCCTACTCTCTCTTGTTTACCAGCAAACTTATATCATTTTTATCTTAGCACTTATATTTAACATTACTGTTAAATCATGCATATCTATAGCTTGATTTCAGTCCCAACTCTTGCAGATGAGGCAATGAGGGAATTTGTTTTATTTTCCATTCTCTCCTGTATCTGCTATTATTTGCTGGTTATATTATTTCTACCCTCTCAGAGAATATAACATTTATATTTCATTCAGTCACCCCACCTTTGTTTTTGTTCTAGATCTGCATTTTCAGTGCTTACTGTTGGATATTTTGTATTCTCACTTTTGTTCAAATTCCCCTGTCATCTTGTGGTTAGCTATAGTTTGTCATCCGGTGATTTCCTCAAAGAAAAGCTCCAAGTGAAAATTATTAATTGAGTTTTTACAGGTTTAATACTATCTCAGGTTTTGATACTTAAAGGATAACATGACCAGATATAAAGTCCTTGGCTCATAATTTCTTTTCTTGACTATCCTATAGATATTGCTGCACATCCATTTTAGTGGATGTTAGTGGAGGGCTCTGATGTCTACCTGGATTTCTTGTTCTTGTATGTGGCTTGGTCTTTGGCTGTCCGAAGATATTATTCTTTATCTTTGAAATGTAATAATCTTACTCTTAATTGTTCTGATACAAACCATTTTGTTTAATTTTTGTTGCTATGTGATATAAAATTTTTTAAATTAAAGTATTATTCTACTTTTGTAACATTTACTTGAAGCACATTTAAAATAGCTCTTTTTCTGTGTGTGTATGTTTCTTCTTCACATTCTCCAGTTAAGAATATGTTGATTCTCCTTTGCTTATCATCGATATCTCACATTTTTGTCTAGTCTTTTTTGTTATATTCATTTTATTTCATTTATATTCAGATATATTTCGTATATATTCACTTTGTTTGATTTTCTCATGTTTATCCTATTTTCCTTGTTGTAAATATCTGCTAAGAAGAAAAATGAGAAGATTTAACACTATGGTGCTATTGGAACATTGATGTGTTCCTATTGAAATAATCAGAAACAGTACTTTTCATTTGTTTTCCTGGCTAGGTTAGAAAGATTGCATTTTAAAGAAATTTCAAAATAAAGACACATTTAATTCTCATTGTATTTTATCTTATTAAAAGATCGATTTTCTAAAACATGACTTATTTTCTTTAAGTTATTATTAAACAAACTCGAGGGGCCCTTAAATTGTTAAAGGTAGCATTTATGTTAGTATTCAATCATATTTTAGGTTATTCCTTGATGACAGTACACTTTGAAAACATTAACAACCTTTTTTATTTCCTGTTACCATAATGCATAGAGGACAGAAAGCTTAGAAATTGTCAAAGGCATAAAAATGGGAGTTGTGGACAGGGAGTTAATGGTGTATGGGTAAGGGCAAACATCTGGAAACCTAAAGGAAACTAAACCAGGAGAATTGAAAGCCAGTTATCTAGCTGGTACTCTCATTGAAACTGCATAACACACTTAAATGAGTTTTTTAAAATTCTATATTGTCTTGTTTAAACTCTGGATGAACTCCATGACTGACATTTAGTAGATGCTTAATAAACAAAAGAACAAATGAACAAATATACACATCTCATTGAAGTGAAATTTTACTGAATGGAGTGCTCAATGGAAAGTGTTACCTGAGAAAACATTATTTCTTCATTTTTAATTCTGAGTAACAATTCTATTTGATCAGAAGCTCTTATGTAATTTAATTTAGGGTAGAAATAATTCCAATAAAATATTTGATCCTATTTTATTCAGATATATCTTAGTGGGCGCAACCACTAGTCATTGTGATCTCCAAGGCAAAACAGTTGGCTGGAGTAATCCTTTTCCGGTATGTGAAAGTAAGTAAAGACTTTCTCCGATTTGACTATAAACTTATTCTATGTTAGGTAATAAAATTCTTGTGCATATTTGCTACTTCTTGTATGCTTTATTAGAATTTGCATCATGAATGTGAGATTTGGAAAGATCACCCTAATTATTTCTTCCTCTTTACTTAATCATCCCAGTTGCACAATGTGAGTTACCTCCAGACATCAGCAACGGGAGGCACAATGCTAGGAATGAAGATACCTTCACATATGGCTCTTCTGTCACCTACAGCTGTGACCCCAACTTCTCAATGTTAGGCAAAGCTTCCATTTCCTGCACAGTGGAGAATAAAACAAGAGGTGTCTGGAGCCCCAGCCCTCCTACTTGTAAAAGTAAGTCAAAGTTGAATTGTTGAATTCTCTTTTGAATTTTTCTCTTTTGTTTAAAGGAGCAAGGAAGGTAAATTTATGGGGGTAAATAAAATGATTCAAAGATAAACTACTTATTGCAGTAATGGAAGTCATTTATTTGGTCTGCCGATGCTGACGCATGCCATACCATTACAATACAGTAACAAACAGCACCAATATCTCATTGGCTTTGCAAAGAAGTTGATTCTAATGCATACTAAGCCTACTGCACATCCAGGAGACTCTAGATGTTAGTTTAGCAACCACCTCAGTATTCCAGGTTGACTCTTGCGGCACCTCCATATCAAAAGGCACTTTCACAATGTCTTCAGTACAAAAAGAGAGAAAAACAAACTGTGCTCCGGCTACTAAGAGCTTTGGCCTAGAAGTAACCACTATTACTTTACACTGCAGCCTTTAGTCCACAATTAGTACTGTGTAGACCCTATCAATCCTAAGGGAATTTGGAAATGTCATCTTTTATCTGTTCAGGAATCCAAGCTGGAAATTTTGGTAAGTACTTATAATGTCAGCCAATACGCCCACAGAGTAAGCTAAACCTACTAACCACCAGAAGGTCATCGGGACAAAGTAAGCAATAATTGAGCCAAAAGATATATTATAGTATTGCTAGTCTGCTAATCTTCCTTTGCTACTCAGTGCCTACATAGTGTCACTTGCTATTCTGACTCCCTACAGGACACAATCAAATCAGGAGATGAAAGCATGATGCTGCAAACAGTTCAATGCATGGAGTCTAGACTGTAGGAGGTGGGAATGACAGACACTGAGGCTGGAAAGTTAGCAGGGTCAGGTGATAAAGGGTCTCATGCTTCTCTCAGGAGTTCAGTCAGGATGAAGATGGTGGGGAGACAGGGAAAGGCTTTCACCAGGGGATGTAATGTGTTGCATTTGATTTTATTTTGTAAATATTTTATTGATTATGCTATTACAGTTGTCCTGATTTTCCCCACTTTGCACCCCTCTACCCAACACCCCCCACTCCGTCAGGCAACGCCCCCCCCACCATTGTTCATGCGCATGGGTCATGTGTATAAGTTCTTTGGCTGCTCCATTTCCTGTACCGTACTTTACAGCTCCTTGGCTATTGTGTAACTACCTATTTGTAATTCCTAATCCCCTCGCCTCTTCACTCAATCTCTCCTACTCCCCTCCCGTCTGGCAACCATCAAAATGTTCTCCATATCCATGATTCTGTCTCTGCTCTTCTTGTTTGTTTAGTTTGTTTTTTAAATTCAATTGTTGATAGATTTGTATTTTTTGCCATTTTGCTGTTCATAAGTTTGATCTTCTTCTTAAATAAATCCCTTTAACATTTCACATATAATGGTTTGGTGATGATGAACTCCTTTTAGTTTTTCTTGTTTGGGAAACTATTTTACTTCCCTTTGATTCTAAATGATAGCTTGGCCGGGTAAAGCAATGTTGGCTGTAGTTCCCTGCTTTACATGACTTTGAATATTTTTTGCCAATCCTTTCTAGCCTGGAAAGTTTCTTTTGAGAAATCAGCAGACAGTTTTATGAGAACACTCCTGTAGATAATTAACTTCTTTTCTCTTGCTGTTTTTAAGATTCTTTCTTTATCTTTAACCTTTGGCATTTTAATTATGATATGTCTTGGTGTGGGCCTCTTTGCAGCCATCTTGTTTGAGACTCTGTGCTTCTTGGACTTGCACGTCTATTTCCTTCACCAAATTAGGGAAGTTTTCTTTCACTATTTTTTCAAATAAATTTCCAATTTCTTGCTCTTTCTCTTTGCTTTCTGGCATCCCTATGAGGTGAATCTTGGACCTCTTGAAGTTGTCCCAGAGGCTGCTTATTTATCCTTTTTGTAATTCTTTTTTCTCTTCTTACTAATTCTGATTGGTTGTTTTTAATTCCTTATGTTTCTTATCCTTGATTTGATTCTTGGCTTCATCCATTCTACTGTTGATTCCCTGTAATTGTTCTTTATCTTAATTAGTGTATCCTTTGATTCTGACTAGATCTTTTTTATGCTGCTGAGGTCCTCATCAAGTTCCTTGACCATCCTTATAACTAGTGTTTTGAACTCTGCAACTGATAGATTGCTTATCTTCATTTTATTTTGCTCTTTTTCTGGAATTTTTTTTTTTAATTTTTTATTATTCAAATACATCTGTCTCCATTTCCCCCTGCCCAATCCACCCCCACCTACCACCCTCAATCCTTCCCCACTTTGGCTTTGTCCATGGGTCCTTTATACAAGTTCCTTGACTTGACTATTCCCCTTCTGTTCCCTATTACCCACCCATCCCCTAACTCATTACTGTTGGTTTCTTTTTTCTTTCAATGTTGCTGGTTATATTTTCTTGCTTCTTTTGTTGATTATGTTCCACTTATAGGTGAGATCATATGGTAAATGTCCTTCACCCCTGGCTTATTTCACTCAGTATAATGTTCTCCAGCTCCATCCATGCTGTTGCGAAGGGTAGTAGCTCATTCTTTTTTTCTGCTGCGCAGTATTCCATTGTGTAAATGTACCATAGTTTTTTGATCCACTCATTTACTGGTGGGCACTTCAGTTGCTTCCAGCACTTGGCTATTGTAAATTGTGTGGCTGTGAACATTGGAGTGCATAGGTTCTTTTGAATTGGTGTTTTGGGGTCCTTAGGGTATAATCCCAGCAGTGGGATTGCTGGGTCTTCCATTTCCATTTTTAGCTTTTTGAGGAAATTCCATACTGTTTTACACAGTGGCTGCACCAGTCTGCATTCCCACCAACAGTGGACTAGTGTTCCCTTTTCTCCACAACCTCACCAGCACTTGTTGTTTGTTGATTTGTTTATGATGGCCATTCTGATTGGTGTGAAGTGGTATCTCATTGTAGTTTTAATTTGCATCTCTCAGATGGTTAGTGATGCTGAGCATCCTTTCATATGCCTCTGGGCCCTGTGTATGTATGTCCTCCTTGGAGAAGTGTCTGTTCAGGTCCTTTGCCCATTTTTTTTATATTGGATTGCTGGTCTTCCTGGAGTGGAGTTGTGTAAGTTCTTTATATATTTTGGAGATCAAACCCTTGTCTGAGGTATCATTGACAAACATATTTTCTTATACGGTTGGTTCCCTTCCCTTTTCATTTTGCTGATGTTTTCTTTAGCCATGCAGAAGCTTCTTATTTTGATGAAGTTGCATTTGTTTATTCTTTCCTTTATGTCCCTTGCTCCAGAGGACATGTCAGTAAAAATATTGCTGCATGGAATATCTAAGAGTTTCTTGCCTATGTTCTCCTCTAGGACTTTATGGTGTTGCAACTTATATTTAAGTCTTTTATCCATCTCAAGTTTATTTTTGTATATGATGTAAGTTTGGGGTCAAATTTCTTTTGCATGTAGTTGTCCAGCTCTCCCAAACCATTTGTTGAAGAGGCTATTTTTACTCCATTTTATGCTCCTGCCCCCTTTGTCAAATATTAATTGCCCATAGAGACATGGGTTTATTTCTGGGCTTTCTATTCTTTTCCATTGATCTATGTGTCTGTTCTTATGCCGGTACCAGACTGTTTTGATTACAGTGGCCTTGTAATACAGTTTGATACCAGGTATTGTAATTCCTCCTACTTTGTTCTTCTTTCTCAAAATTGCTGCAGCTATTTGGGGTCATTTATGGTTCCATGTAAAATTTTGAAATGTTTGTTCTATATCTGTGAAATACGTCATTGGTATTTTAATAGGGATTGTGTTGAATCTATGAGTTGGTTTGGGTAGCATGGACATTTTGATGATGCTAGTTCTTCCAATCCATGAACACAGTATATGCTTCCATTTATTTATGTCTTCCTTAATTTCTTTCTTCACTGTTGTGTAGTATTCTGAGTACAGGTCTTTTACCTCCTTGGTTAAGTTTATTTCTAGTGAGAATCAATATAGTGGAGGAGTGAGTGGAAGTCACGTTGACATCCTCTCAGGACCAATCTAGAGTTACAACTAAATTGTGGAGAAATCACCTGGAACAAACAACTGAACAAGAGCGAGAGAGGAGCCTTATAACCTTGGAGACAGAAGAATCAGCTTTAGTGCAATCTAACTGGTAAGGAGTGTGGTAGAGACTCAAGAAGGCAGGTAGGGTGCCCACAGGCAGGAGCAACTGAAGGATATTGAATGGGCCAATTGGATCCCACTGAGAAGACTAAGGTCTAAACCAAAAGCAGGCATCTCCAGCTTACAGCACCAGAGCCCAAAAAGTACATAGAAAACAGCCAGCTGTGAAAAGTGACAGGGTTGCTCTTTGCCAGAGACAAGCGGCTGGAGAAGCAAAGAGCTATTTAAAGGGCTAACGCATAAATTTTTATTTGCAGCCACTTACCCTGGTCTCTGGCAAAGGTGGCAGCAGAGTGGGCTTCAGATGCCAGAGGAGAGACCGGGGAAGGAGGCTTTGGGGAGAGAATTGAGGGAGTAGCCAGTGGGATCCCAGTGCTGACTCCTTCCCCATATGGTAGCAGCCATCTTGCTCAAGAAGAGACCACTCTCCTGAGCAGCAGCAGCATGAGAGGACCCAATAACCCTGTGCCCAGGAGGGACTCCACCCCACCCTGAGCTGTCTAAGCTGGCCTGCTAAGTGCAGACTGACTAGATTAACAGCTGAAGGAGACAGCCACAGACAGTAGATTCCTGGAAGTCTCAAACAGACTGCCTAAGGTCAGACAGGGACAACATCTGACATCATGAGGCAGATCCAGAAAGTAAAAACAGCAGTCTCCTACCATAGAAGTTCATACCACAAAGTCAGGAAGTCAAGAAAAATCAGTTTAAGAAGAAGAAGCAAAAAAGAAGAGGCTTACAAATAATGGGAAGATGAAGAAATAATCCCCAATCAAAGGGAAAGGAGGAATCCTCAGAAAGAGAACTAAATGAAATAGAAGCAAGTAAACTGTCAGATATTGAGTTCCAAACAACGGTTCTAAGGAAGCTCAATGAGCTCAGTGAGTTCAGAGAGAATTACAAAAACTACAGGGAAACTACAAGAAACTTACTACAAACTATATCAGCATGAAAAAGGACATAGAAACTATCAACAAGAGGCAAGAGGAAGTGAAGAATACAATTTCTGAATTGAAGAACACAGTAGAAGGATTCAAAAGCAGGCTAGTTGAAGCCAAGGATCGAATCAGTGAGGTGGAGGACAAGGTAGAAAAAAGCACCCAGAAAGAGGAAGAAAATGAAAAAAAAGACTCAAAAGGAATGAGGAGGCATTTAGGGAAATGCAGGACAACCTGAAATGTAATAATATCCATATAATAGGGATATCAGAAGGAGAAGAAGAGGAGGAAGGGATAGAGAACCTGTTTGAAAAAGTAATGATGGAAATCTTCCCTAATAGGAGAGAAAAAGTCACACAAGTCCAGGAAGCACAGAGGGTCCCATTCAAGAGGAACCCAATGAGGCCCATTCTAACACACATCATCATTAAAGTGGCAAATAATCAAAGACAAACAGAGAATCCTAAAGGCAGCAAGGAAGAAAGAGGTAGTAACATATAAGGGAGCCCGGTATGGCTAGCAGCTGACTTCTCAACAGAAACCACGCAAGCCAGGAGGGAGTGGCAAGAAACATTCCAAACAATGAAAAGCAAAGGCCTGCAACCAAGAACGCTCTACCCAGCAAGGCTCTCAATTAAAATGGAAGGTGAAATAAGGAGTTTCCCAGACAAAAGAGGGCTAAAAGAATACACCTCCACCAAACCAGCACTGCAAAATATGCTAAAAGGACTGCTTTAAGATGAAGAAAAAGAGTCTATGAACACCCAATTCCTTTCACGGTTGCCAATACTTGATATTACCAATATTTTTAAATATTAATCTGATTGTGACAATGAGGTGCTATTTTAATTGTTCCTTTATTATTTGCTGAAACTAAACCTGTTTCCTTATACTTCTTCCCTATTTCTATTATTTTTAAAAAGCTTTAAATGACTGTTTGGTATTCCCACAGAGTTGGAATTGACTGTGGGAGAGGGGGGTGATGGGGGAAAAATTGAGAAAACTCTAATAGAATAAACATGATTTAAAAATAAAATTAATTTTTTTTAAAAAAAGATCATTCACCATGATCAAGTGGGATTCATCCCAGGGATGCAAGGATGGTTCAGTATTTACAGATCAATAAACATAATATATAACATAAACAAAAGGAAAGAGAAAAACCACATGATCATATCAATAGATGTGGAAAAAATATCTATTGTCTTGGTAGTGTGGCCTAATGTAGTAGGTATCCTGTAGGGTCCAGTAGAACAGCCTCCCCTATCACTGAAGCTGGGTACTCAAGGTGTGCTCTTTGTGTGGGCTGAGCACACCCTCTTCTTGTAGCTGAGACTTGGTTGCTGTTGGCAGATCAATGGGAGGGATTTACCCAGACCAGTTTACTGCAAGGATTGGCGGTGACCACTTACCACCCAACTCCACCCTCCATGGAGGATCAGCTGTGCAGGGGCAAGGTGGTGGTGCTCCAACATGGTCTGTAGCTGTCTACTGGGTGTGTTGGGCCTGGGGTTTCCCAGGTGGTGCTGGCCATGATCAGCCCTCACCTGTGTTTTCCTTGGGACCACCCTGCCTGAGTTATAAAGCAGGCTGAGTTGACTGCTACTTGTGTTGGGCTTGGGGTTGTCCAGGCCAAGCCATGCTATAAATCTAGGCTGCCAGTTCTGGGCCCGGGGCTCACTGAGGCCTGCTACTGCTTATTTGAGAGGATTTAGTAAGTTGTAAAATATGAGCCAAGACCAGCCATTCATATGGAAAAGCAACTTTGGTGGGCCTGTAAGTTGGGTGGGACACAGTTTCAGGATCTCCAAAGGGGGTCAAACAATGTTAGCCAGATTGATGGAGTCTCAGATATGGCACCATCTTGCCAGCTCTGTGGGAGGAGGTTTAGGAAAAGGCCAATGGCCTCTGCTCACCTTCATGCCAAACACTTCAGTTTATCCCTCTATACCACTGGTGCTTTTCAAGCTGGTACTCAGGTCCTGGAACTCAGAGGGAGTGAGTCTGTTTAAATTCATGTGTGAGTTTTTTAAGAAGACCTGCTTGGGGCTCAAGCAGTTTCTTCCACCAACTCAATCCCTGCTGGTTTTTTTCAGCCAGATGTTGTGGGAACTTATTCTTCTGGCACTGGAACCCTGGGCTGGGGAGCTTGGTGTGGGGCTGGGGCTCTTTGCTCCCAAGATAATCCTCCCAAATTTTTATCCACCACACATGGTGAGGGACCAGCCTGTTCTGTGTCTGCACCCCTCCTACCAGTCTGGATGGATGTGGTTTCTTTAATTCTGCAGTTGTCAGACTTCCATTCAGCTCGATTTCTGATGGTTCTGAGTGATGGTTGTCCTATATTTTAGTTGTAATTTTGATGTGGTTGTGCGAAGAGGTGACATGTCTGCCTATGTTGCCATCTTATGTGTTACATTTTAGAAGGTCACTGGCTGCAGAATGTCCTACAGTTTGAAGTGGGACAAAATTTAACTCATTGGCACCATCCAGCCAAGAAGTGAAAATGGCTTCTTCTGTAGCCAGGCAGTGGGCCTGGAGAAAAGTTGAGGGGTTGTAGAGGAAAGAAGGTGGCAGGACTTGACTGACTGCTGTGGGTGGTGAAGATTTGTTCTTTGTGAGGATTCAGATCTCTGATGCCTTAGCTGCCTCGTTATCATCAATGTTATGTAATTACCACTGGCCACTGACCTGCCAGCAAAATCATCCAGGAAAGTAGGTCATTATAAGGGAAAGATTTGGGGACTTTGAGATATGTGTTTCTTCTAGGTTATATATGGCTTGTTTTTCTTGAGAAAAATGAGGAAGTTGGAGTTACCTACGATCATCTGATAACAGAACCAACATGATGGGACCTCATTCTACTGAGACTTATAAACGTTGAAATTATATACATATATATATATATATATATATATATATATGCTTTTTAAAATGCTTTTGTTGTATTTACTTGATATGTACTATAACAGGCTTTTGTGTTATACTTGGAATGGATTAACAATAGCAGTAATATCCTTATTGCCATTTCTCTATACAATTCACTTGTCTTTTTTTTTTCATGATTCTTTAGAAATCAACTGTCATAAGCCAAATGTTAAACATGGGAGGATAGCCACTGGATTTAGATACACCTATAAGTACAAAGACTCTATTGCATTTGAGTGCAATAAAGGTTTTATCCTCAAAGGCAGCAGTGTGATCCATTGTGAAGCTGATAACAACTGGGATCCTCCTCCTCCCATTTGTGAGATCAGTAAGTATGGAACATAAAGGAATTTCAGTGTTTGATATCTAAAAATATCCAGACCCTGGCCAGGTAGCTCAGTTGGTTAGAGCATTGTTTTGATGCATTTAGGCTGTGGGTTCGATCCCTGATCAGGACACATACAAGAATCAACCAATAGATGCATAAATAAGTGGAACAACAAATCAATGTCTCTGTGTCTCTCTTTCTCACTCTCTCTAAAATCAATATATTAAATTTTTTTTAAAAGATACCCAGAAATGTTAGTGAGGGAATATTTGTATGCCTAAGTCCACTTGAATCACAGTAAAAATGTAAATTTAGATAAATAATTTTTTTCTTTTTTTCCACAGCAAACATTGTGGATTAGTATATTCATTTCAACAATTTTCTTGCAGTTGATAGAAAATTTTCTGTTCTAACAAAATTATTATATTATGGTAATTGTTTTGAAAGATAAATGATAAAGTGTTCTGAGAAAAAAATGCCTTTTTTTCTAACTTGCACAAAAGTATTGTATGAACTAACTATGATTCTGATTCTGAAACTATGGACTCATGTGGATCATTAAAAATAACAAATAACATATGATTTTACTTATATGTGGCATCTCAAGAACAAAACAATTAAACAACCAAATAGAAATAGACTCATAGATACAGGGAACAGACTGATGGTTGCCAGAGGGGAGGGGGGCTCGGAGGGCTGAAGGGATTAAGTAATACAAATTGGTAGTTACAGAAGAGTCACAGGAGTGTGGATATCAGCATAGGGAATACAGTCAATAATGCTGTAATAACTATTCATGGTGCCAGGTGGGTACTTAAAATATTGGGGGGATCGCTTTGTGAAGTATATGATTGTCTAACCACTATGCTGTACACCTGAACCTACTACAGAATAATATTGAATGTAAACTGTAATTAAAAATAAAAAATATTATAAATAGTAGTAATGATAACTTGGCACTATTTTAGGTGTATAACAAGAACTTAGTCAATGAATCCTCCCAAGAATTGTGGACACTATTATTACATTCATTTTACAGAGGAGAAATCTGTTTTTCAAGGTTAAGTGACTTGCACAAGATTATACAACTAGAAATGGGAAGAAGCCACATATGTTTTGTACTCTTACTTTTTACCATCATTAAATGTGAAGAACCTTACCTTGGGAACTTCTGGATTTGTAGTGTAAACACTTCGGAAAACCTCTCTCCAATCTAATAAGTGGTCATAATTAGCAAAGACAACCAATTAAGATTGCTGGAGGTTAATCAAAGGAATTAAAAGAAATTAATAAGCATTTATCTAACATAATCTATAGAGACTTGGAACAAACAGTGGGAGACATTGCACTGAAGTTAGGGTATGTACCCAGTCCCCAACAGTCTTGTGGAGAACTGTTTACAGGGGACTTATGAGTGGCAATTCCCATCTTCTCCAACTTGTTGGGGTGGAATAGCTATTTAGAGGAGATTTGGCTTCCAGTTAACATCTTGTGACAGCATTTTTCAAAGCCCCATGCTTCAAGTGGCAGCAGCCAGACATTAGTGCCTGCTCCTCCACCCTGACCTTCATTATATAGGGAGAACCCAACTGGAGCATCTGGTGACAAATTCAGGTGTCCTTTCCTGCCTTGCAGGAGAACTGCTCCAGTGGCTTTGGCAGCCAAATGCCACCTCCCATCTTCCCCAGCTTCCTAGAGTAGAAGAATTATGGACAGATTTGACAGCCAGCAAACTCTGGCAGATCTAGCTCTGGGCTGTGGAATATCTACACTTAGTGGTGGGCACAGTTAGGTGACAGTACCGGTTCTTACCTCCCCTTCCTCTCTCCTTCTCACAGCTCCAAGTTGGCAGATGTTTGTATTATATTTCCATATGATATGACTCAGTAATATCAGGAAAGTGTAAAGAGGACAAGACACAAGGCCCAGGCTCAAAAGGTGCTTGGAGTTTGTTCTTGATTATCCCTTTAATGATAAAATTCCTGGTATCATCTGGATGAGGGGAATGACTTGTTCATTTTTCCTAATCAGGCAGGAAATAAGAAAGATTTGTCTGGGACAGTTTTCCAGCCATATCTATCTAGCAAGCCTAATGCTTCAATTCGGAGACTAAGCTTTGTGAAGTACAATGAGGAGCAAGGAGAATTAACATTTGCATAGTTGGTATGACACACAGAAACCATTTCTTAATGTTTAGTAAGAACTTCTCTGGTGTTGTACACATGTCAATTTTGGCACATGTCTATATGTGTTTTCTGGTGTGGCTGATTCATTAGCCATGGCAGGCTGGTTAATGCCTGAATGAATACATGACACCCTTTGATAGCACAGGCTCACTGATCATGACGCATCCCTAGTAACAGTGTCCTTTTCCCTTGTTCTTCTTTTATAAACAGATAGTTGTACTGACTTACCAGATATCCCACATGCTTCCTGGAAAATACATGGCTACTCCAAACCAAGAAAAGGTGAACTATATGAAGTTGGGGTTGCCTTGAACTACAACTGTAATCCTGGCTATAAACCAGCTGGAAATCAGCCCACAACTGTGATTTGTCAGGAAAATTTGAGTTGGACCCCATATATAAAATGTGAGGGTGAGTTTCTGCTTTTAAAATCTTTTACTGTATTAAATGGCCAGTGTATGCTAGGATTTTCTACCATTAATGAATATAATTGTATTCCTTAAGATAAATTTATATTAATTCAGTAGAATGACTATTATTGTCAGAAAAGACCATAAAATTCTTGAAGTTTGAGGGGCTGAGAAATTATAGCCTTTCCTTATCCCAGTTTAGAAGTCAAGCATTATGCTGATTAAGTATTAGCTTCATTACTGATAATGGTCAATGCAGAATACAGTTTAACTCTGCCAGAGTTAGACATCCATCAGCTTTTTAATCCTAATGTAGGTTTTGGAGTGCTTGATAGATGGAAGTCTATGAACGAGTCACAAACTCAACCAGCTTCAAGGTGACCTGTGTCTCATGTCTCTTGAGCATGGGATTGTGGGCCGAAAGAGCCGGGTCCTATGACAGTCTCTAGCAGACAGACCCTGACACGGCGTTCTTGCTTCAGTAGGATAGAAAGGAGACTCTCCAGTCTCACTAGTAGAAGGTGTCCCTTTGTTTTCTGAGAGGAGTGAGGGGCTGAGACATAGATGGAAGCAACTTTTTGAGCCTTAGTGGAATTGACAACAGAGGAAGAAAATGCTTCCTTCAACACATGTATCAGAACCTTGCCATCTTAGAGGTGAAGACACTGATACCCAGAATACAGGAAACTTTATTCTACAGATGAGAATTGGAAAAACATGTGAAATGCCTAAGTAATAAATAGTTTAGGCCAATCTATTGAAAGATTATTCATTTCATATTAGGAGTAATAGTTTAATTGCAATTATTCAAACTCATTTTGGGGAAATAGAATAAAAGATTTTAAAAAATTAATGAATTAAAAATATACTTAACAAAAATTATTGCCACCACTTAAATAACAAAGTACTGACTCATATGAGCCTTTGAAGATCCTCTTTAAAGAATAAGAAACAATAAAATTTGAATTAATTAATATATTAATTAAATATTAATATACAAATGAATGTTTACACATATTTAAACTACTTTTAAATTATATATCGACTATAATCTTATCAGCTTAATTATTTAATAAAGGACCCTTTACTCCATTTAAAAGGCAAAAGTGAAATGTATTCATCCAATTTATCATAAAATCTAATTGAATATGAATTTGGATTCATGTATTGAATATTTAAAAGTATTTTCTATAATGTAAAGCATTACATAAATATTGCTACAACTTAGAAGCCATATAAGTGTTGGGTGTTTTTATTATAACTCATAAGCAAATGAGTGCTGGGAGTATTGGAGTACAATTGCATGGCCACATCGTAGTGCTAGTCAACCTCCTAATACGGAAAATAGCACATTTTATTTTCTTCTGATATTGTCTCTTACATCAGATAATTCTAGTTCTATCTGAAAGTATTTCTACTGATGAATAAAAATTTTGTATCCTTATATCAGATCTTATTGCATAATGAAAGAATCTGAATAGTTATTTCTCTTAAATTTGGCATCAAAAAAGAAAAATCCTGGCCATAGTAATATTTAAATTTATTTCTATGTGTTCGCTGTCAGATGGATATAAACTTTTGAGAACATTCTTCCTTCTGTGATTGGGGATATATAAGTTATTTGAAAGCTTAATAATTATGTGAACCTAATGAAGTCATAAGGAGATAAATGTTATTTGTGATTGCTCTTGAATAATTTTGAAAATTTACATTTTCATATAGGTTTAATACAACTTCTCATTTTGGAGATGCCTAATGAAATTATTTAGCTGGAGGGAAATGACTGGATTGGACTACTTTAGCAAATCAGGGACAGGGAATGAGGACTCAAAGTGTCTTGCATACCCTTGTCTATTTCCCCAATTTCTCTTCTGTGGTGAACTCTTTGAAAGATGGAAGAGATTGTTAGTCATACGAGCCTCCTCATGGTGATTTTACTAACCATTAACGTCACTTTTTATTTTTTAGAGGTATGTTGCCCAGAACCAGAGCTGAATGGTAGCAAAACTATTACCCCCAGAAAACGAAGTTCGGTCGATAAATGTGTCTATTTCTATGGGGACTCAATTTCATTTTCATGTGTTAATGGACGAAAGGATGAAGCTTCCTGCCAAGCAGATGGTACCTGGAGTCCTGAAACACCAACATGTGATGAGAGTAAGAGCTTATGGAATGATGTTATTTTAGAAGTTTCTTCATAACAAAGTAATGGAGATTATTAAGGAAAGGTTTCAAATTAGGTAAAAGAATTTGTAAACCCTGCATGATTCTTCGAGTAGATATTTGTTTAAAAACACTATCTCCAGTCCAAATTTCTCTTTTCCCCCCATATTTGTTGTTCCCATTATCTTGACCTTCCTGGTTCCCTTTTCTGAATCAGTGACATTAGGCCACATCTAACAGATCAGGAGGATTTTTGAATTATTGCATTCTGATTCTTGGCATTTATTCTCTTTTCTTCCCTTCTTTATGGGCCATACGCATTAACTTGTAGAACAAGACTTGCCCAAATCTATTTGAACTGCTTTTTCAAATTTGCTTCCTTTCTTCTGCTACCTGTAAGCCTTCTTCAATCTATTTCTCAGGAAATGCCTGCCTCTCTCTCACCAAGAGCATTTAAGTGTTAAACACAATCCACCCTTCTCCATGTTTTTTCCATAACCCTATCTATCAATGATTAGGAACAATTACCACTGCCTAAATAATGAGTGACCCTTTTTCTTGTGAAAAGAAGCAGCCCAAAGTGACCAGGCATCAGTTGCAAAATAGAAATCAATGGGAATCTTATCTCACCTGGTAGAAGTGTTTCCTCTTTGCCTACCAGGGCTTTCCTTCCCTCCCTCCTTCCTTCCTTCCTTCCTTCCTTTTTTTCATTCCTCTTTCACTTTTCATTTTATTTTATTTTTTTATTGTTCAAATACATGTGTCTCCATTTTCCCACCACCACTTTCCCCTGCCCCCTCTCTCTCATCAGGGCTTTTGTCTCTGCAGATCCCAGTGTCCCAAAATGTTCACTTAGCGTGAATGTAAGCGGGGTTGTCCATGCTTATGTCTTTTGGTTTCTGGGCTCATGGACTTTATTTTACTGGGGACCCAGTACCATATAAAGGTCAATCTTTGATTTAAAGTGAATGCTGTATTCTGGAAGATATTGTAAGTAATATTGTAAAGTCCCATCATTGTAAAGTGTTGTCTCCTAACTAGCACTTCTGCTAAGCCTTTAACAGGCTATTCCAAGGTTTTAACTGGTCTGTAGGTTCTGGGCGACACAGTCTATAATGTAAATAGTTCATTTTAGGCTGTATCACAATACCACACCTCTTTTGCTGCGAGTGGGTCTTATAGGTGCATGTAGTGGAATCTTATGCCAATTGTTTAAACCCTCTGTAATCCTTTAGGTAGGATGGCTGACTGAAATCCTGTAGGCAAGGGAAGGCAAGCTCATACCTGTCTATTTCTGTCAGGATAATGGCTGTCCCATCCAGGTGGAAGGGGCTCTAATATTGTCATCTTACTACCAAGTGGCTTTTTGGTTGTCTAAAGGGATGGTATCATATCAAGGACTTAACATTGTCGCTGAGAGTTTGGGTATTCAGGGACAGCAATAGCTGGTCAGCTTGGGTAAGTAGGAGTCCATGTGCTTGGGCTGATCCTTGTCCTTCATCCATGCCACCACGGCCACCTTATCCTTTTACTTTTGTGACAACCCTGCTAAAGCTGGTGACAGAGGATTGCTGACTTCAACTGGCTGAGACATTATTTTCTACTTGGTTGTTTAATGCTCCTTCAGTTTGGGGTTCTTTGCTGGTATTACCATGCAAAAAAAAAGAATCTTGACACTTCCTGGCCATTCCCACATGTCCAGTCACCTGTTTCTACCCCAGGTCTCCTCATCACCAATCTTCCAATCTTTGTCCTTCAGGGATCTGACAGACAAGCCATTCATTTTGGACAAGCATTAGTTTAGTCTACTCTTAGGCCACTTTTTTTTTTTTCCAAAAAATAAAATGACCAGATGTACCACCTAAAGCTCTGCTTATCAGAAAGGTTTCCTCCTACTACTGACTTATGAGACCACCTGGATTGGGTTCTAATGCAACTTCCATCCAGTTTAGCTTGCTCACACATACCAAAAATACTCATCTGTGAACCAGGGTCAGGCTTTCCTCTGTTCTAGCAATTGGTTGTAATGAATTCCCCATATAACCATACGTGAGCTACAAGAGAAGTACTAGTGCAACAGTGGGTAGGTACAAGCAAAATGTGGGCTCCTTATTTGTGCATCTTGCTTGTGCCATCTTGTCTTGCTAATGCTCAATCCCAATTGCACCCCTTCCATCTTATGATGGGTTGGTGTCTGCCTGACCCTGTAACCTGATGGGTCTGACAGACCTGGCTCATGATGAGTAATCCTGGCTGCACGGTCACTTGATGACCCAAAGTCAGAAGCTCTATCATGACCAAGTAACACACCAGGAATTGTATTTCAAAGGGTATAATTCTCTGCTGCACTGCATGGCACGCTTCAGTATTTCAAGGGTCTATGGTGTGATTGTCCCATTGACATTTATACCTTTTCTTCCTATAGCCACCTCTTTACATTAGGCTCTGCATGGTCTTAGGACCAAGCAATAGGAATGATTTCACTGCTGACTGAACTTGCCACAGAGGCCTCTCCTAACTTTGGCCCCATTCAAATCTGATTATCTTTTGTGTCACCTAGCATATGGGTTGGAATAATATTCCCAAGTATGGAACATGATGCCTCTAGAATCTGAAAAGGCTTGCTAGCCATTGTGATTCCTTCTTTGTGGTGGACGCACAACTTACAATAATTCAACTTTAGTTTAGATGGGATAGCCTAGCATGCCCTGAACCCTGGACCTCAAACAATTTTACTGCTGAGGCAAATTCCTTAATCATTACATTCTATACTCTGCAGCATCATGACATGAATTGAGAAAACCAAATCTTTTTTATTCTTGTGTTTTTCCTGTATCTCCTTTACTACTCACACAGAACACTGACATTTCTTGTCATCAAACTTGTGGGTGGTTTTCCCCACACAGTTCTTAATCCTCCAATTTAACTCAATCATGACACTATATGCCTGGAAGTAGTGTCAGATCCCACAGGTTAAGGGCTCACTCCCACAGGACGGCTCTCGCGCCACTTCAGACACCAACCACAAGTGGCAGGTCCCCAGATTTCCCCCAACTTCTGTCTGACTTGGCTATAAATCAGAGGTTCTTTGACCTCCTCCTTGGGTTTAATTAATTTGCTAAAGTGGCTCACAGAATTCAGGGAAATACTTACATTTACCAATTTATTAAAGGGTATGATAAAGGATATCAATGAAGAGACAGATGAAGAAATATATAGGGCAAAACCTGGGAGGGTCCCAAACATAGAGCCTCTGTGCCTGTGGAGTTGGGGGGGGCTTCACCCTCCTGGTAAGCAGATGTGTTCACCCCCCTGGAAGCTGTTCAAACCCCCTACTGTTGGGACTTTATGGAGGCTTCCTCATGTAGGCATGATCAATTTTTAATTCTTTTTTGATGTTCTCTCTGGAATATGGGAAAATTTCAAGCTTCTAATCTTTGCTGGATTTTTCTGGTGACCAGTCCTCATTCAGGAGCCCACCCAGGGTCGCCTCATTAGAACAAAAGATGCTTCTAGTGCTCTTTTCATGCAGGAAATTACAATGGTTTTAGGAGTTCTGTGCTAGAAACTGAGGGCAGATCTTTACATAGATATATCATATATATCATATAAATATACATAATATAAAATTATTATCTCATATCATGCTAGCTTTTTTTTGCTTATTCTGTAGAATTAACATGACACCATTAATATACTGCATAATTTGATAGTATTTGGATGTTCAGATGCTCATGATAACTTCAGACTCAATTATAAGAGAGGCATGTGAGTTCTCATTGCCCAGGAATAAAACTGATAATGTACGATCCTGACCCTTTCATGTACGTGCAAACTGATTCTGATCTTCTTTTCTAATAGGATGAGAAAAAAGCCTTTTGCTAAATCAGTGCCCTCATTTGCCTGAATACATATTAGTCTGCTCTAGCAAAGATACCACATCTGGTACAGTGGCTGCAATAGGGGCCACTATTATACTATAATTCTCCAGAATTCTCTTATCTGTAGTAGACAGGCTAGGGAAGTAAATGGAGATATAATGGGGATGGCCACTCCTGCATCTTTCGTTCCTTGAGTGGCACTAATTTCTCCCTTTTCATATATGTAATTTATTAGAGTGACATTGGTTAATATGATGTATATTTTAAATTGACTTTATTAGCTTCAAGAAGGAGGGGTCTGGGTCAGATCCATGGCTTTTACTTGGTTTTCATGGATATCATCATTCTTAATCTATACACCAATGACCCAATTAGGAGGTGGAACTATCTACCAATTTTGATTACGTAGATTATACTTTTGAAGAGAATGGAAATATCACCGTTTGCTCTAATAGGGTGCCATGATGGTTCTTCAGCCTGAGGCTTGCAGCAGGGCAGCACAGGACTTGCCTTTGGCTAAGTGACCCTGTGAGCAGAGAAGATGACAGGACGAAGGCTCCTACAAACCACACAGATTCTGGAATGTGTTGTTTCTTACATTCTATAAGCTCAACCTCTCTCATTTCTGTCTTACACCAAGGTTGCAATTATCCTCCTAAAATTGACCACGGACATTTTGAACAAAGTTCATCTCTGTTCCGAAAGAAGGAGGTCACATATGAATGTGATGACGGATACACTCTAGTTGGAAAGGCCACACTTTCCTGCAGTAATTCACGCTGGTCAGCTCCAGCTCCTCAATGTAAAGGTAACTCCAGCCCATGGCTCAGAGGGTGGAACTGTCATGAAGGGATTGGCAATAAAGTTTCTTTCTAGCCGAAGGCAGAACGGAAACATTTGATTTGATTTATTTTAAATAATTACTATATTTAGATGGTACCCAAAGCAAAAGAGTTCAAGGGGCATACTGAAACGTGAATCTCCCCTACTTCTTTCTCCCAGTTACAAAATTCAGCCTCCTTGAGGCAGCCCCGATTCCCCGTTGCTTGTATGTTCCTGGAAACTGTCCGCAGGTTGTAAATTCCCTTAGTGTCACTGTGGCCTGTAGGAAAATCTTCACGGAAACTTGCCCTGGCATGAATGCCGACTCTCACTGGCTAATTCCAAGTACTGGGGAGTGCCGGGTACTTCATCTGAGCCTCACACAGGGCACCACCTGCCCAGGACGGAGGCGCGTGGTGGGGGACTCCCAGTAGCCAACTCGTTGTCGGGCAGGAACAATCAAGATCGGGTCTGATTTTTACATGCTCACAGGGTTAATATCAACAACTTTGCCCATAACAACTCCAGGAATTATTTGCCGCCATTGTCGTCTTTGCACACAGGAGAATAATAGGCAAGAAGGGAGAAACTTAACCCCTAGTGTCCTGCAGAGAGGATCTGGGGTTATGTGATTTTTTAATACCCTGTCATGTTATTTAAAGATGTTCTGTCTTGAATAAGTTTCTTAACCCTTCTATATCCCATTTTCCTCCTGGATAAATGGCAATAATAACAGTGCTCACTTCATACAGAAGAGTGAGACTTAAATGAGAAAATCACATAAAGTGCTTAGCTCCAAAGACTGATAGCACTAATAGCGTTGCTATATAAAAAAATATATATATATAAATCAATTAGAAGCACCTACATGTGGTTCATTTAATATTCCCTAGCCTATTATCATGTCTTTTTTCTGAAATTTACAGATAACTTAACTGTGCTTTCATTGTAGCTCTGTGTCCAAAACCAGAGATTGAACATGGAAAGGTTTCTGTGGATAAGGATCAGTTTGTTGAATCTGACAAGTGTTGCCATCCAGTGTGATTCCGGCTATGGTGTAGTTGGTTCCAAAAGTATCACCTGCTCAGAGAATCATGCCTGGTATCCAGAGGTGGCCAAGTGTGAGTGGGTAAGTGGAACAGTTCAAGGAAGTCCCTGTGCTGTCAAACGGTAAAAATGGTGCCCCCCTCAAAGCACAGTGCCAGCCAGCAAAGGCGAGATCTGACTTTCCAGGGTTGACTTCTGAGTCATTTAAAGAGCTCTCCTGTTTTCCCTGGAAGTGCTCTGGTCAGTTAGGGGGCAAGTTGTCCTGCAGTCACTGGAGAACAGGAAAAACCAAGCCCCTTATGGAGAGGACGTTGCCAGAGACTTGAGAGCACTGACACCTAACTTTCCTTTTCTAGACTATGTAATACACTGTATTCTGTTTCTGGATGGTTGGCCGAAATAGCTCTGTCCAGAACAGGTTGCAATCCCTCTGGGGACGACTATGGCGGGGCTGAGTGTTTTCTGGTTTCCGGCTCGCCCATCACACCTGGGGTTGGTCTGGGATCTGCTCCTGCAGTCCTGTCATTGCGTGATCTGAAGAGAAGCCTCTCAAGCACACTCACCAGCTATCTCTCTTTTAGGTGGTCCCTCAAGGCTGTGATCACGTTGTAGCAGGCAGAAAACTCATGCAGTGTCTCCAGAGGCCAGAGGATGTGAAAATGGCCCTGGAATTGTATAAATTGTCCCTAGAAATTGAAATCCTGGAACTACAGAGAGAGAAGGCAAGGAAATCCAGTCTCTAGTCAGTGTAATTTTTCCCAGAAGAGGGAGAAAAAAGTGCCTTGCTGACTTCAATTCAACATGGATTGCTTTGGTTTAGCAATTCTACCATCCCGTTGGTACCAAAATTCATTGTAATAAATATCTAGAAAGGATAATTTGCTAATGTTTTGCTCGTGCTTTCAGATTATAGAATTATTGATTACCTTGTGGCTCATGTTTTTGCTTTGTTTGGACACTAATGGCATGTTTTTCCATTAAAATTTAGTTTTCGAATGCAATTTTGTCTTTGTGATTATTAGGACTTGATGAAATAAGGTCCATAAACAAACCCATTACAGAAGGGTAATACATTAATTTTATCGTATGGATCCTGAATGGGGGCTTGGCTTCACATCAGTGACATTTCCCCGATTGCCTTTTGTGTTGCAGCCTCTTTAGGCTGGGCAGGTCCACTCGGGGCTCAGGTAGACGGGAGAAGGTGCGTGGAGCCTTGCGGGTGCTTGACGTGCCTTCATTCGGGAGGGTCACACAGGTCACGAGCCCGTGTCCGGGGAGATCGCACAGGCCACAAAGCCCATGTCCACACCTTACCTAGGCCACAGCCCGTGTGGAGGGAGTCACACAGGCCACAAGCCTGTATCCAAGTCGGTGCCCCGACTCCCCACCTCATCCAAAGCTGCTCCCCCTTAAAATACTAGCCTTGAACAAAGCAGGCTACAGGCCAGAAAGTGAAGTAACTACCATGAGCAGCACATGCAAGCCTCCTCAAGGCTACAGGGCAGTTTATTGCACCTGAGGCTCAAGGGTGTGAGACAGGGGCCCAAGGCTGTGGCAAGACTGCTTTATCCGACTCCTTCAAGGTTGTGAGGACCTGCTCCCTCCAGTTACCCATGCATCTGGGTGAGGGAGCCAGACCGCCTCCACCTACCCTACACATTTACTCCACTTTTCCGCATGTGCAAGTCACTCAGGCCCTCGGTTCTTATATTAAATGTCAACATACTCCAAAAGCCTTGTCCATTCTCTCCCATTTGAAGGGAGTTATTCCATTTTCTAAACTCCATGCACTTGATCCGTGGCTCGCTAAGGCTACTTCTCGACTATTGCCTTGTATAAAGGACATTTATGATTGTGCCTGACCCACTTATTTCATCCCAGGAGGACAAACTCTGAAACGCTGATGAACGCGAAACCGACGTGGCTGCCACCTGTGCATTCCCACGTCCTTCATCTGATCTGTCTTCTTTTTCTTTAATAGAAAAGTAAAACGTCTTGAGTATTTTCCCATACACAAGGAGAAACCCTGTACCAATCACCTTTATATCTTGTGGTATTTTGGAAGCTTTGTTCCTTCCACTCACCACTTCCTCCAACTTTGCTTCTTCTGAAATCTCTCTCTCTCTGTCTCATTCATATCTCAGATTCCTTGGTTGTCTCCTCTCTTTTGTACACAGAACTCCAGGGGGAACATTGGCTTCTTTGGTTTAATTACTATATGTATACTTCAACGAGGCTATGCTGTATAGCAGTGTTTCACTGAATTACAGATATCACAGAGGGGCTTGAACCATTGGAGAAATCCAGTTTAAAATGGACAGTTTCTATTCATAGGGCCTTAAAAGTCATTACCTGTTCCTGCATCTAGGAATTCCATTTGTTTGTCTTGTATTTTGAGTTTCCCCTGAGACAAGATTTATGGGGAACTAATTTCCTTGGGAAATGGTTCCATAAAGTCCTGTGCCTGAGTGGGTCAGTAAGACAAGGAAGAGAGCGTGGCCTAAAGGGAGCATTATTGAGTTGGTTCATTGCTGTTGCTCCCAGAAGCTCAATTGTGCTGACTGCCTCCTGAGAGCATGTGGAACACAGCTCTGTGTTGTCCTTCCAAGGACAAGGACCTGGGATATTATCCATCAAATGTCTCTTCTCATATCTCTGGCAGCAGTGATTCCCAAGCATATCTGACTCACACTATGGTCTATTGGGGCAGGCTCCTGAGGCCTGGGATACCATGAGGCATAGAAACATGAGTAGCCAATGGCACTGTGGGACTTGTTTATAGTAACCTCCATGGTAGGGATATGGGCAGAACACAGAGGGCCTCTTCTACTATTGCCTTTTCCCTATGGCTCTCTGCCAATGTCCTACTTTATTCCATCACTTTTCCTACTCAAATCTCTCATTTCTCTGTATCAGACTACTGTGAAAGTTTTCTTTTTTTGCCCTTAATACAACTCCTTTCATTTTTAGGGTGAACTATTTAGTTTTTCTCCTCCCATTGGGCTCTGTGCCTATTTTAGCATTTCTCGTTACGTGAATTGTCACAAATAGAATATTTGTTAACACTACCTACACAAGTAAAATTCACCAACAAGTCAACACATCACTATTGCAAATATTGATTCTCTCCTTTTTGTTCAGAGTATGAAGATGTAGGAGACCCAGGAATGCCTCAAGACATTCTATCAATGAAGTTACATCATCATTTGTTCTCATTGCTTGAATGTCTTGTATATTATAACTACCATTTTCACATTATTCACTGAAAATATGATTTAAGAAAGTGGAAGATACTGTTAGAAATGTGAGTAATCAGAGAAAAGTCAGAAAAGTCATATGAGAAGAATTTATGGGAGAGGAAGTTATTTGACCTACTGCTCTTTGAGGGTTTGAGTGAGAGGAAAAAAAGGAACCTGGCTATTTTATACCAAAAATTTAAAATAAAATTTAAAACATAAAGAATAATAGTTTCCATTGCCTCATGATGGGGAAGGGCAAAGTATCATTTTAAAATATTGAATTGTCAGCATAGTCTCGTGTTAGCAGGAGCACTAAAACTGTAAGCAAAGGAAACCCAAGCAGATGTCCATTTTATATCTGTGTCTGCTTCCAACATTAGCAGGGACTGGAGGAGAAGATGCTAATAAGTTCCTTGGGCTTAGATGTGGATAAATATCTGGCAATTGCTATTTTACTCAGTGGCTCTCACCAATTCTCACTCAGCTTCTCTCCTCAGCAAGAGTGACTATATCCTTCTATCTGCCTTTCTTCCCAATGAACCTCTTATAAAACTCTTAATTTGTTCATTAATAATTTTAAAAACATCATTTTGTTTTTTGTTATGTACTTGTTGAAAAAAATTTTCTATTTAATTGTCATTTATATCATTTATTTGTAACATTATTTTATTGCTTTTAATCATAGTAAATATATTCTCTT